TACTTCCGTGGTTTTGCGGCGGTGATGTATTTTTACTCTTGCAATGGAAATCTGACCATTTGTCTCAAAAAAAAATAAAGAAATCTAACCTTGGTATAAGTTGTTTCATAGAAGATTATCACCAGAGTATCAAGAGTATTTGACAAATTTATGTTACACCGTTTTGGAGTCATGCGTCCATCCGTATTTTGACGAACTCAAAAATCCAACTTTTATTTTCTCTTTGTATATTTTCAACCACAAGAGTTGTAGAGCGTCACACATGATATATTGCAATGCTTGATGTTCAAACACTTTGTAGCTTTTAAAGATGAAATCTCAATGTTCATGTGGACGGAGCCCAAGAGTGTCACATTCTTTTTTTGTCAACACTCTGCATGTGTTTGTCTTTCGACAATTTATGTTTATGAATTCTTGTTCCAATTGGTATTAGAGCTACAGATGAAGTAGTTTCTTTCATTGTTACGAAGAACAAAGATTAGTTTGATACTGAACATATGGTCCAACATAATGGAATCAGAGCTGGCTAAAATGATCTCCAACAAGGAAGTTTTCTAAGAACACACTTCTGATAACTCGGATGTAGATGTTTAGCACGTCGAGAAGAAGCATCTTTTGGTTCCAAAACTGGTGTGAGAAGAAGAAGAGGCTTTGCTAGACAGACTAAAGAGCAGCATTAGCGTGGAGACGTCTAGGCCGAAGTGCTGCTAAAAATTGGAAAATTTATAAAATCGGATTTTTTCAAATCATAGAATCTGCACGTACTTCATTACAAAGGAGAAGCATTCGTAAAATCTTGTCTGCCTCCTTTGTAAAACTTACAAATTAAATTTTTTTTGTAGAAAATTATATGATAATGATAGAAATACTATTTAAAAAATGTATAGTTTATATTCATATCCTTAATTTTCAATTTTCCTATAATATTTAATGTTTTAAAAAAAATAATAAAATATGTTTAGTTACTTTTTACTTGTTCAAGGCTATACTCAAGTGATGAGGATGAATATTATTATTATAAAAAATCATGTAAATAAAATAGCATATTAGTTAGTCATGATCTATAATACATAATAAATCATAACATGCAACATTAACACTCTTAAATATTATAAGGAAGGTTTATATTTCTCAAATTTAAATATTTGATTTACTTGAATTCATTTTTGTCAAATCTTCAATATCAGTTTTAGATATTTAAAACGTATTTATAACAAAAATTAGTTATATGATTTATATGAATCTAGCAATAAAATTTATATCTCCAAAGTTTAGGGTTAAGAATATATTCTTATTATCATGATTGGAGAGATTTTTTAAGGTCATAGGTTTATATTATGTTTCTTTCCTCAAAGTAGAATTAATCAGTATCTCTTAAGTTTGCTTCTTCGACAGTTGGTTGATTTCGTAGAATTCTTGGAATGGTTTTATATTTTTTCTTGGATAGATTTTGTCTCAAAAACAGAAACATTTAGGTTGATTTCTTTACAATACTTACAGATTTTTACAATTTAAAATCAGATCTAAATATTTTATTCTAAAAAATTTAACAGGGTCTAATAAAATTACGTTATTGATGAAAAAAACTCTCAAAAAAACAGTTTAACAAATCATCATTTTATCAAAAAATTTAGATATATTTTAAATTTTGATATATTTTAAATTTTGATATATTTTAAATTTTGACCTATAATTATAATTTCGTTTACCTTTGATTGAAAAAATTAAGCATGAATGAGATATAAAATTTATTATCATTTTAAAAATAAAAAAATGTAATAAAGTTTTTTAATAATATTCTGGGAAATTTTTTGAAAAGAATTCTAACTTTTCGTTGCATCAAATTATGTTGACCAATTGTATTTAAGTCATTTGGAATACAAAATATAGCATAATTTGAGTAAAATTAGGTTAGATAATTAATTAACTTGAAATCTTTAAAAATTAATCCAATTAGAGTTATTTTACAGATTTGGCAATAATTTTTTTTTTTAATTATTAATTATTTGCCAGTGAGAACTACGAAGACTTCTTGTGTATACTAGCAAACTTATTAGTATAACTCACTACAATTACGGAAATATTTTTCAACCAATTCTTTTCCAAATGGTTTGTAATTCAATTGGATATTGACTTATCAAGCACATTTTTAATGTGCTTGATCAATTTAATCATGATTTTTCTTCAATTGATATTCATGTAAACTTCCATTACTAGTTTACTATTGGATTTATCAATCTTTTCATTGTGAATGATATGTAAATATGTAATTCTTTGTCAAAATAAATATGTCATACACATAAACTATTAGTATAATGAAGCTTACAATTCCATCATTCTACTTTTTGATTTACAAACATGTATCAAATAAATATGTTTGAATTTACAAAATTAATATTCCATGGAATGAGAAGATAGACAGGTTATAGTTGTTCATATGACAGGCCTGGATAATACATGTCATGAAGCGTCATACTTAGAGTAGTACCAATATGGAGTTGTAGATTGATGTAAAAGATTAGATATGCCAAGAAATCCGTTTGGAATGCAAGACTCTTTCAAGATAATGACAGCAGCCAGCGTCGAAGCTCAATGGGTCGATAGAACAACATAAAGAGTCTCATGATTCTAACGTCTCCGACCAGCTCATGCAACATGGAAAGATGGCCCCTGAACATACTAAGGCAAGAAAGGCCACAATATACATGCATGTGCTTAAATACTGCAACAAATATTGACATAATTGGAGGCTTGCATGCATGAATGGATTGAGACATCATGAACAATTCCTCCATGTCTCTGGAGTCCACACTCTTGAGCAGCTCCATCATCATTCCAAGACAGGCTGCATATGTTCCTTCATTTCTAACTTTAAAATTAGGGGGTTCAAAACACACTCGCAACCCTCGATGACAGTCAAGGGAACAGCCTTTCATGGCTTCAATGAATAATATACCAAATTTTTATGGCAAGTTGACATTATCTAACTTTTTATTCCTCAGTCAGTCCATTTCCAGAACTTCATTTCTATCCAGATTTGGGGCAAGGAAGACGAGATTATATTTTACTGGCTAAACAACTGGAGGCTTTTCTGGACTCACAGATGTGAACAATAAAACTCTGACAGGTATGGGAAGTGAGTTTCCTGGAAGGAGTTCACGTAGATTTCCTTGGGAACTATTTTTAGCCTCCATGTTATTTATGGTTAAATTACCTTTGGCACTAAATTCGAGTAGAAAAAAACAACACTCAAGAGTATTTTCTGGGCTCTCCAACTTTCATCTTCTTTATGCGCGATACTGCGCTTGTTTGACAAAATGCATGCAGGCATGCTAAAAAATTGCAATAGTTGAGCACGAAGTTTCATGCTCAAGCTAAAGTGGCTTTTGAGCTTTTGGCCTATCAAATTATAGCAGCTTGATTGACGAGAAGTATCACACAACTTGGTGCATGATTGAACTCAACGCATTTGTCGTGCTTACACGGTGCTCCGTCCAATTTCTCCCTTTTTGACCATTCAATACTTTTCTTATCCAGTTTGCATCCTTTGCCCTTCCACATTTGGGTAAATCAAATGAACCTGTGTTGTCGCTCCCCCTGTCCCATTTCTCTCGGGATGACAACTTTTTATTAAATTCATAGAACTCGGTTGCCTCCAACAGAAGCAATGAACGACAGTAAGAATGGGGGAGGATTTATAACTCTAAGAGTAGAGGGAAAAAGAGAACCATAGGCTCGCTAAGTCTAGCTATAAGTGGATATATTCAGAAGTAGTACATATTATGAAGCACAAAGGCAGGCTTGACCTCCAATGGTGAGAATAGTCTTTGGTATCTACAAACTATTGTAGCATCGAATCTACATTTTGTCAAGATGACAAAATGTAGATGCTCGCGTGCACGTGGAGCAAAGAAGACTTCTTATCTTCCGATACATTGGCGAAGGAAGAGGGTCCAGTGCATGAAATCACGTGACGTCATCAGCATGGGAAACACTCATAAAAAAAGAAGAAAACTTCACACTCGGGTAAGGTGGGCCTAACCCCAGTAAAGGTTACCACTGTAACCCACACACATCTCTACCATACAAGGCCTTCATTCCACCTTTGTTCTTGTACCAAGCGCTGGCCTGTTCAACTGTTCTAGCTTTCATTGCAGAGCGCGTCCCTGGTCAACTGTTACTTCGAAGGCAAGGCGACGTGTTACTTTTGTTTTATTCCACGCTACCGTCAGCGGGCGGATTTCCGTCACCCGCGGATGCGGAGTACGATTGTACGGCCGACCGGTCGATCCGCAGCAGCCGGTCACCTCAACTCGATTCATGCAACAAACCGGTCGATGCCAAATGATTGCAACGGTGGTTGCTATGGCGGGGGTGCCAATACGAAACTGACTGCAAGTACGTACTGGAGGGATGTTGTGTATTATACTAAGAATTAATCGCTGACACGAAGTTCACAAGTGTAGATTTTACCAATGGGGAATGCTGTAAAGCTGGACTTTGAATTTTAATATAGGAGTTCTTGAGCAATTAGAACGTTTGTTATCGTTGGAGCATAAGTTTGAATTATCTTTGATGTTTCAATCTTTGTCTGAAATTGACAAAGCAATGCTTTAGCTTAGTACCGGGAGAACCGGAACCAGATTTAGCGTCGAGGCAACTTCATGAGGGCGGCACGGCTCATCGAGGTGGGACACATCTGTCGACCGGTCACCAAATGGCGGGCCAAATGTGGCAACCGACAGCAGGGGAGCCTCTCCCGTACGTCACAGTGGTAATGAGGTCGGTCCCCGGGCGGAAGTCGCACGCAGAAGGGCCGAAGGACCGAAGGACTCTGGAGTGAGGGAGCATGTGAGGAGTCGGCGTGGGGACGCGATTGCGGGACCGGACCGACTGCGGGACAGAGCAAAGAGGCCGCCAACTCTGCAGGCAGGCAGGCAGGCATCGACAAAGAAACACGGTGACGGAATGCGAACGCAGTCGGGAAGTCAGGAGACACGATGCGGCAGAACGACGTACAGTGCCGCAGTACAGTACAGACGGACGGAGACGACGCGGCAGGCGTCGTGACTCGTGTTCTTCTTCTTCTTCTTCTTGCCCGCGAGACGACAGGCGGGCGTGTGCGCGTTTCTTGGGACTGCTCACCGGTGACCGACGATGCCCCCGCCCCCCGCCCCCCGCGCCCACGCTGCAACAGCAACAGCAGCAACGGGGCCGCGGGGGCGCGCGGGGGAGCGTGCGAGCTGTCTGTTGCAGCTGCTGCTGCGCAATTTCGAATGCACCCTCACGGCCCCGTTCGCTCGTTAGCGTAACACAACGACGTTCAAACCTTTCCCTGCTGTCTCCCTGCCGTTCGCGTTTCTTCGATCACACAACACTTGGACGACTCGTTCGTCGCCAGCAACTCCCGTCCCATCCCCTCCCCTCGCTTTGTCGCCATGCCAAAGGGAGGGGGGCCCCTCGTCCGTTTAGCATTTATCTTCCGAATTGACACCAGATTGGTCGTCGAGGCCGAGGCGGAGACGACGATCCGGAGGCACGCACGATCCGGACGGAGGACGGCGATGATGATGAGGAGGAAGTGATATCCCCCTCCTGCAAGATTCCGTGCTGCTGTAGGCCACCGGGGCCCTCGGAGCCCAATTGTGCGCCGATGCAATTGCGGCCGATGTGCACCGCAGGTCCCGCTGGAGGTCGCTTCCGTGAAACCGTGTGGGTCAGTGTGTGATCCGCGATCCCCTTTTTCTTGGCCTGTCTTCCCTCGCGCCATCCCTGCTCTCCTCCTCCTCCTCCTCCTCGCTGTATTCCCATATCATACCCAGGGCAGGCACCTCGAATCTGACCATTTCATCCTTCCCCATTTCATCCTTCAGAGCCTGCGGATTCTGAAGCATTTCGCGTCCGTCGTCTTCTTGCGGGCGATTCTTTATCCCATTTTTCTTTTCTCGAGTTGCTCCCAGCTGAGCAGTGACTCCAGTTGTGCGTGTGTGTGCGTGTTGGTGTGCGGTACGATGCGAACTAGGTCGTAGGTTGAAGCGAGCTGTAAAGGGAGTGTGTTTAATCGATTCTCCACAGGCAGGCAGGCAGAGCGGCGAGCAGAGGACTTTGGGGACACATAGATAGCCTGCGTCAAGATTCAAGCGGACGAGCGAGAAAGAGAAAGAGAAAGAGAGAGAGAGAGAGGTTGACAGACTCGGACGATATATAAGGGCCTGCTTGAGACGTGGGCCGGATCTTGCCTGCCTCGTGTAGCCCGGCTTGAACATATTCTGTGCAGAGTGCAGCTTTTTAGTGTGCGACGAGGTGTTTGATAGAAAGTGTGATCGATCGATTGATACGGACATCAGCCGCTATTGTGTGTGTGTTAGGAAGTGTGTGATCAGTTTCTAGAGGTTGTTTTGATTTACTTGCGCTTCGAGGCGGAGGAGCAATGGGGGCTTCAGGGAGGCATGAAATAGATGTGGAACAAGATGGATCTCTGAGGAAGAGATCCAATAGCAGCAAGAACTATGTGTACCCCACTTCGTCGAATCATCCGGGCATGATTGCCATGCCCATGGAGGAACGCAGGCACTTCGCTTTTCTCATACCACTCTTCGTCGTGGCCAACATCGTCGTGTTCATTCTCACCATGTACTACAACGACTGCCCGAAGAAAACCGACACGACATGTATTGCGCGCTGGCTGGGCAGATTTTCCTTCCAGCCGTGGAGCGAGAACCCACTGCTCGGGCCCTCTGCCCTGACCTTGCGCAGAATGGGAGGGCTGGATAGGGATCTGGTCATCAACAAGGACGAGGGATGGCGCTTGGTCTCGTGCATGTGGCTTCACGCAGGAGTGTTCCACCTTCTTGCCAACATGATTGGCCTTCTTCTCATAGGACTTAGATTGGAACGAGAGTTTGGATCCATCAGAATCGGCATTGTGTACGTGGTGTCGGGCTTCGGAGGCAGCTTATTGTCCGCTCTATTCATCGAAAATCAGATCTCCGTGGGTGCATCAGGAGCATTGTTTGGTCTTCTTGGAGCTTCGATATCGGATCTCATCACAAACTGGACTATCTATGCCCACAAGTGCATGGCTCTATGGTCCCTAATTATCATCGTCGCAGTGAATTTGGCATTCGGATTGATGCCTCATGTGGACAACTTCGCTCATATCGGAGGATTTCTGGGTGGTCTTCTCTTGGGATTCGTGTTTCTGGTCAAACCACAATACGGATGGGTGAATCTGCGCGACGTCAGAGCAGCAGACTTGCCCGTGTCGAAGCACAGCCCAATTCAGTACATCTTGTGGGTGGTGTCATTGGTCCTGCTCCTGGCCGGCTACACCGCTGCCGTGGTTGCCCTCTTCAAGGATGTGAATGCGAACAAGGAATGCAGCTGGTGCCATTATTTGAGCTGTGTTCCTACCTCCCGGTGGAAGTGCGATTGATTCTAGGGACTAATTGAATCGTCATCTCAAATTACGACGCCACTCCACCTGACGGCAAGGTTGGTGCTCACGCATTGAGCTCCTGTAAGCAGCAGCTGTTGTCGGATTTCTTCTGTGGAGTAGCCCATTCGTTGTAAATATCTCGAGGACTTGTGCACCAATGGGGACCGGCCTGTTTGGCCGACACTGTAAATCTAGCTTCTTTAAACATATACATTCATTCCCTTCGTGATTTCGTCTAGGGGCCCCTATGGAGACGCTCTGTCCAGGAAAGTTCTCATTTCCGTTCTGGCTGGTGTTCTTCAAAGTTACTCAATTTAATTCTGTTGTAAGTCTAGCATTTGATTAGACCAGTAGCAGGGCTGGCTACATAACAACTACATTGATTCTTGTGGACGACAACGTCCAGCTTCTGTAAGACATAGAGCTTAGGATGTAGAATAGATTGATAGGTTGGCTCGTCAGCCGGAGACAGTTCTTTGAAATCTTCGGTTTGATTTACATCACTCTTTCAACTGAGGCCCAGTCTTCCTTCTCGAAGCCATTATTCCTTCTGTCTCGAGAAGCTTATGTTTTAGGATGTTCAGTACTTTATCCTTCTGAACAGAAAGTCGAGAAAATAAAGGTGTTGTGCTCCACGCGGAGCGGCTTCTACAATCTGAAGGTGTAATTGCTCGCTGGCATTTCTAACATGTGGAACACCTCTCACGTTTCTGTTTGGAGCGGAGCATGTTGTTTATCATTTTTCGTCTTGTTCGACTTTGTCTTTGCCATCTGTTCCAATTCTTCAAAAGTCGATAACCACGGGAGTCCACTGCCGCCAGCACGACCGCATGTGATCCCACTGATTACATTGTGACACACTGTATGGCTCGATTTCCGCAAATCCTGACAGACAAGATCTTTTCTCATTGGAGTCTGCTTTAATCTTCCCTTGTGAAATGTTCTGTTCACAAGCACAATAGTGCCGAAGAAGATATCCACCAGGATTCTCGCTAGTGATAAATCGAATTCTGACGTGAAATCTGACTACTCACAAGATTCCCTTTCGACTTGGTCTACTTCAGATACTTTCCGCGGGCCATGGTTGATTACAATACTCGTAGAGTAACCAAATGTTAATACTCTCTGTAATGATTGCGCAATTGCGTACAAGCTTCGGATGAATGATTCAAAGACCACTGACCCTCGAGGGCCTGCAGGCCCTCCACTCTTGTCGGACTCGACAGAGACACGAAGTTGTCTCAGTAAACAGAACAATCTCCAGTATGTAATACCCTCAATCATCATGACCTGACAGAATCAATACCAAATACAGAGAAGCCGTATTCATACTAGACGATTGTTCAGTATGAAGAGAAGGATAAGGAAAGGACTTAGTGTCGATATATAAAAAGAGAGTCGTAGTGCATGTCCGGAGGTATGTGACAGCGCACGTGCTCGCCGGTCTGCAGGATTGAGTACCAAGTAATTTGAAAACAGTTTTACTGCTCATGAAGTTGGCATGTGTACATTGAAGTTCGTAGAGTAGCAGCTCTAGAACTTAGACGTGACTGAGTTTTCACAGCCTCAAACTTTCTACATCTCAAACAAAAGCAATTAGTCACCAACTCCAACAAAAGCTTATAGCCGTGGAACACTATCTGCCGACAGCAGGTACGACATGAACACCCTGAAACATCACTGCAGTGGCACCTCGTCTCTGCGATCATGGTATACTCTATGTGACAAAATTAATGGTTGACTGAATTCGAGTATCGGTCCCCAATGGACTGATACTGCCTAGAATACACTGCATCGTGTCGAATGTTAAATTGTGACAGGAAGATCGGGTTTGATGTAGCCTTCTGCAGCTAACGAGCTCTTCACAAGATTCTCAACCCTCTTCCGAAGACCTTCTCCCACCAGCTTCTGCAGCACCTCGGCACCGAAGGAGAAGACCAGAGCACTTCTCGCTGTCTGGACGTCTATGCCCCGAGCTCGAAAGTAAAACAGCTGATCTTCCTCCAGATCACTTATAGCTGCACCATGAGAGCATTTGACATCGTTGGCGATAATTTGCAAGTTGGGTTTCACGTTCACCGTTGCCCTCGGTGCAAGAAGCAGACTTCGGCTTAATTGTCCGGCATCGGTCTGCTGTGCAAATCTGCATTCACGACGTGCATGTTGTAATCTTCCACCTTGATTCATAAGGACCAGAAAAACCCCTAACCAAAATAAAATGAAGACGGAGGTGAAACTAGTTTGCCGCCTAGCATATCTTTCAGTACAGAGCAAAAAAATCGAGTGTTGTTTTGAAGAAGTCAAGCATGGCAGGCTTCGGTCAATTCACTTCGCATCCAAAGGGACAGACTATGAAAGTACATTGTCACTTTTTCCAGATCCGACAGAGGGGGACATACCTGTTAACCCTCACGTTGCCATCAAACACTGCGTGCCCCGAAGAATCACTCACAATGCACTTGTGGAGTTGACGAGAAATTCCCCTAGGATGATCCAGGACAAGCTTACTGTGCAGGTCATGGAGCTGCTTTCGACCCGCCAGCAGAAATGTGGACATTTCGGTGATGGTGTCTGGACCAAGCTGTTGAATGCTCAAGTTGTGACGACTGAGTCTTCCCCCGAATCCAGCTTCGACCAGCTTGTAGGTGCTCGCCGTCACCTGAAGACAAAAATATCTTGGTCATGAAACTAGCGAACGAGTCCAAATGTGAGCTACACACTTCTACCAAGCTCCCAGAGATATATGCATTTGAATGAAAGAGGAGATCCGGAAAAATTCACCCAGGACGTGCATGAAGAAATGATGATTTCTGATACCAAGGAGGACTATAGGAGAGAGTGGAGGCACACTGAAACAGTGTTGTATTGCGCAGATTCACAGGAGTAAAGTTAACCTGTGAAACGTAAGTCTGTCGAATGTGGACAGCGTTCAGACTCTGCTCCTGCACGTAGCTGTGACCAACTCGACCGCTCTCCGCAATGTCAATCTCACAGACGGAATTCGTCCAGTACAATGTCTGCGGAGCTCCAGTGAAGTCTTCGACCAAGTCCAACTCTGCATCCTTTCCCACGCTGACAAGAAGTCGAGGGTTGGAAAGAGCAAAGGCAGAATCTGGGCCACCAACTGGACCTCCTTGGGCTGAGTAGTACAGAACATACAGAGGCTTCGGAACCTTCACACCTGTAGGCACAATGACTACAACGAGATCCCTGGCACCAACCCCATTCAGACAAGCATACACGTCTCCCTCGCTCCTTCTGGCAACACCTGACAGCCTCGGTAAGACATGCTCTTCCACAGCCTCCTTGGGCAGAGACGAAATGCTCCCTATGACCACCCCTTCTGGCACGTCCTCCAGACTCGACAAATTCTTGCACAGCACTCCGTCTACGAATACGAGTCTGCTGCCATTAGAATCTGGCAGATTCAACGATGCAGGATCGAAAGATGACTCGGATGGCACGTTCACAGGATTGATGTTGGCCTGTTTCAGAAACTTCACGTCCGTGAAGCGATAAGATTCATCCTTGTTTGTGGGCCAGTGACAGCTCAAAGTTGCCTCCGTGGCCTCTTCTCTAAGTCTTGCCAGTGGATCATTTGCAAGACCATCCTGTGCGATTGAATCTTCAAGCTTCGACGCGAGGTCGAGAAGGAAGAGATCAGGAGTCGACGCAGACACGAAAGACATCGATGCCTCGGCTTGGTCTCTTAGAGCAGCTTCTTGAACATAAGCTCCATGCCTTCTTCCTATTCTGGGCTCAAAGGTTCAAAATTCAAGTCAGAACGCCAAGCTCGATCAATTATCACGAGCTGCTTGACCTGACATAACCACGGAATCCTCACGGCAGCTCACAGCAATCACTTGCAAGATTGAATCGGACGACGGCAATATTTAACACTGGCTGAGGTAGAAGCAATTGCTTAGGCACGCTTTATGCACTTTTATTTCCACAAGGGTTTTTCATCACAAAATTTCCTTCTTGTCCAAAAACTCGGATTAAAATCGAACTCAGAGCTCAGCCGCACGAACATAAATTCTCGGAATCACGCTACGAATCAGCGGCTCTCAGCAAGAGTTTCATCATTTTCATTCTTTCTTGACGTCCAAAATCCAACTCTACATGTGGATTGCAGTGTCGAATTACCTCCAATTTTAGCTCCAGATTTTGCCGGTTCGGAGAGCGCAGTTCGCAGGGCCACAGACCTCGGGTACCTTCTCGAACTCACAGCCGACCCCTGCAGTGTCACAGGATTCAATCAATCAGCTGACCATCTGAATCTGCACGACGCACTTCCACTCCACAAAAGCAGACCACCGAGCCGAAACTTGGAACATGGCCAAGGTCGGTCTCCGCTCGAACACACAAACACAAACCACCACTCGAAAACTAGCTCAAAACACTGGCCACGAAAATCCCACCAGACCAGCCTGCCTGCCTGCCACAGGAAGAAAGACGGGAAGAACGACTGGATTTCTCGACAGAAAACGAAGCGCAAGAATCGAGCACCATACCGTCGGAAGAGAGGGACTGCCAGCAGGGGGCGCTTGCGGCTCGGCAACGGAGGCCACATTGCACCTCGGAGCTGCAGACCTTGGCGCTGTGGCGGCGGCGGCGATGGCGATGGTCCTCCGGGGCACAACAAAGCACGCCGGCCCCGCGATGGAATGCTGCAGCACAGGCGCCATGAAATCTCCCGTAAAATCTAACCCCCGCCTCCAAAATCCCACGCGCGAATCCCACAAACCTCGAATCAGCTCCAATTGCTCGTCCGCATCGATGACCCACCCCAAACACAAGTGGCACACCACCGCTCGAGCTCGCGCTGCTGCTCTGCTGCGATGCTCCGATTCTCTCGTCGTCTGCTGAAGCTGGCGAGCGAATGAGCGCCAGGAGACGGGATGAGGGTCGGGCGGCACTCGCCTGTGCCGGTGCCGGTCGTTGCAATCCCCGTCGCGGGGAAGATAACTCGGCTCGTCGTTGGGACCATCCAGTCCAATCCCGTTTCGGGACAAAGTCCAGCGGATTGTTGTCGTTGTTGTTGTTGTTCCAGACCTTCTTCGGTACACGTTGCTCTCGTACTGTACGGGCCAGTGCGGCGAAGCAGTACAAGCTGTCGATTCACCTTAGCAAGTGGTGAGTCACTCTAACGAGGGACGGGACGACTGCACCACTCAATTCTTTGTCATTGTAAGAAGGAGAGTTTCTTCGTACAGTGAGTGTGGGGTCGACTGTGGGAAACTAACTTAGAGCTCAGAGGGGAACGGGCTGCAATCGTGACCATCGATAAGTGCTAATTATCCAGATTGAAATCTTTTTACATATAAGTTGATTAAATAAATCGATATTTAATCTAATTATAAATTAAATATCGACGACCTTCTTGTGTTTTCATGTTTTGGTCATTATTCCCAAGTACTCCTCAGGTTCTGCTCCTAGCCTACGTAGGCGTTTTAGATAAACCGAAAAAGTGGACTTATAAATAGCGAAATACATCATGAAGGATATTTGTGAGGTAGGTTTAATGAAGGATACTCCATTTATCTCTTTGGCTCCTTGAGTTTTAATTTTTCCGTTTGTTATGTATTGTATTCGTGCACCGTATTGTACAGTATGTATTTCTGGACTCTTGAGACTTCAGTGTTGTCCACAAGGAACCAATGGAAACTTAGCGAGGAAGTTTTAACCGTTGGGTTACAGTACTCTCCCGGGTTTCGTGTGAATCAGATGAATGTAACTAACCATGGTTCATCAGGATTACTGTGGTTCAACTGACAGTGACAGGATGAGCGAAATCCAGACCGTGGACCACCACGTGGTTGGTCTGTGTAGTCGAACTGGAAGGATCAGGTTCTTTCGTCATGAAATTGACATGTTCATGTGAAATGTACGGAGGTTCGAGAAGATTCTGGACAGGTGAGATTTTGCAGCTGTCTGGACTTCTGGCAATCTGCGTTGCGTTCTGTACACGACGAAGATTAGCGATGTTACTTACAGCATCATATTCCTAGAGACCCTTCAAAACCTTCCAACTGAGATGAAGGCGAGAACTGTCATTTCGGAAGAGCATGAGAAGTAGCCTTTGGTGACATTATTGCTCACTAAACAACGGATCGTCGAGCTGATTAGACCCCTTGAATCTGACACGTGGGATCTCACGTGTCAGAGTTCGTGCCTACTTGGCGTTGTTTGGGGCGTTGCTCAAGTCTACCACGTTCTATCCAGTTTCATATCACCATTGCGAGTTTGGTCTCACAATAGTTTTATATGGTTGGAAAGCTCATAATATTTAGTTAAAAAACCAAAAAATTTCAGATCTTAGAGACAGTTTCAGGAGAAGAGAACCTAAAAAAGTACATATGCATGTTCAAAACTCGAGGATTTAAAAATTCATTAGCTCAACTTACAGATTATCGTAATTTGAAGGATAGTTTAGTATTCTAATTGAATAATCATTGTTCGTTGAAGTAAGAATTGTATAAACTATTTTTCTATGCTACACTCTAGACACAGGTGACATCACCAAACAGACCTGTCAATTTAGTTCTGATTCGTTTCATATGTGAACCACAAGCGCATATATGTTTGTAAACCTTGACAGCCGCCGAATTATTGGGAATTAGAATTCATGTAGGAAATTCAGATGTACGGTGGGCCAAAAAATAGCAAAACTGATGGAAAATCTCATCAACGAATAGAACGAACTGGAATTAAAGAAATTATCGCTTTAGCATAATGCTAAAAAATGAAAGAATACGAAAATAATATATCTCTACCATACACAAACTATAGAGATGAGATAATATAATATACATTTCACATGGTAGCCCGTCGACTACGTTACTACTCTATGCAGAGCCTATGTGTGAGAAAGGACTCTGAAGGTACAGTACAAGGCTATTCAGGACGGACGACGTGGTCGGGGTGGCATGCGGACGGGCGACCGAGTGAAGGGAAACTATGGTAACCGCGGCGGAAGACGTGGAGTCAGAGGAGAGCGGGCCAGCAGGGCGCCAGGTGGCGCCTGCAGAGGTAGTAGTTAAGCGCAGCGCGGAAGGAATGGGACGGCCTCTGTCTCTGTCGGCACGCATTTTGCCTCTGCCCGCCTCTTCCACCACTTCCGTGTGAGCCGTTGCCCTCTCCGCTGCCTGCCTGTCCTGCCCGCTCTGGCCCGATCGTCGAGCCCATACATAGTTGCCAATCCGTGCCCGTTGCCCAGCGCTCGTCGGCCTTCTTGAAAGTGGATTGAATTGGAGCAGAGGAGCAGAGGAGTGGAGAGAGAAAGAGAGAGAGAGAGAGAGAGGACGAGGAAGGTTTGGTGGTTCGGATTGGTGGGTGGGTGGCACACAGAGCAGGGCTTTGATTTTGATCGCAGCGATGGCTGTGAATCCGCCGCTTTTCGGGAACGGGACCCCGATTCCGTTCGTGGATGAGATGTTCGTGCTGACTCGCGACTCTGTCGAATTTAACGTCGATCATCCTTAGTGAGTGGATTTTTTTCCGGAACGTGTGTGGTTGATTCGTCGTGCAGCTTTTTATTTTGTGTCTCACTTTGTTGGTTGGCTGCCGGAGGTGATTGTGAGGGATTAGAGTAGAGTGTCCGGAGGTTTTGAATTAGAGTACGAGGTGTGGACTGTGCACCGAGTGCGGTTGATTTATTGCTTTTGTCACTCCGTTACGGAATTTCGATTTGAACTTTGAGGTTTGAAGTTTCTGAAAATACTTGACTGCAATCTGTGAATTCTTCACCCGACGGTTCACGAAGATATTGAAAGTTTCATTAGTCTTTGCAAACAGTCAACGTGCCCTTATAATTAACTGTTGTCAGTTATGAAGGTCAATTGACTAGTGAATGTTTCCATCGTTATATCGTTCAGCCCAATTTCTGAAACCCAAGCCCTCTTAGAGAAAGCTACTTGGAGTGACTGTGCTCTGTTTTGATGCTGAATTGAGATAGTACTCTTTCAAAATATTGTGCAACTCATATGCTTAGGCCCTACATATAAAAGACTCGTTTGTGTCAGCTCATCTCGTTATACATAGGGTTTTATGACATGTTGGTTTGAAGTGATGAAAGCAAAATACGGAGAGTGGCGTGTGGCTATATCCCATTATATGACATTGTTGTTTTACAGTTCTCCCGGAAGCAAGTTCAGCGCAAAAGGATCACTTCTCATTTCAAATTTTCGGGTTGTCTTCGTTGCCACCAAGCCAGTCGGAAACATTGCAGCTTATGACTTGCCTCTTGTAAGTATGTGGTCTCGTAAGTGGTCGGTAAAATTCTTGTTTGTGCTTTGGTAGGAGGTTTTGTCCTACCCTCGTCTCCTTTGATTTCCAGGCTCTCAGCGTGGTGGGCCGATAAAGGAACGTGGTTTCGCGATACACGTAGAGCCCTGTCTGGCTGTTCAAGTCCATTCCAAAAGTCGACTCGGATTATATCGTTTACTTCAGAAGCTGCGATGTGGATTTGGACTCATGTCCTAAAACCAGAGAGGCGTTCCTTCTCGATCTGTTTCCGTTCCGATGAGAATACCATCATCATGAGTACAATACACTGGAAATGATTGTGACGATTTGGTACTGCTCCTACAGTAACAAAATCTCAATTTTAGCCAGTATGTTTATCGTGTGCTTGTCATCTGTGCAGCTCTACATACACGACGAGAAATTCAATCAGCCTATTCTGTTTTGCAACAATCTCTCGGGCAAAGTTCATCCTGTAAGGCCTTTTATCTGATTTCATTGCTCATTTTTATTCATTGGCAACCTGTAAGCTGCAGGAGCACGAAAGTATTGAAACTTGTGGCACTGCTGTTCAACTTTTGCAGGTAGTTCCTGATGGCGAACATCCATCTTTATACAAAGTGTCCAGCTTTAAGATTCTGTTCAAGGAAGGTGGCGTCGGAACCTTCGTACCATTATTTTTCGGCCTTTTAAGATCTGTGCGTGCAGCGAATGTCGAATCAGTCAATGTTTCAGCTCCTCCAGCAAACCCTCTTCCATCAGAGCAAGCACCCGTGGAAGACATGATCAGACATGCGTAAGTTTATTTACCCTTTGCGAGCCAGGTTGTGTGGGGACTAACTTTGAGTTTAGCAACAAAATTGGTAAGGTGTCGATGTACGAGATTGGCTCATCTCTTTAAATTTCAGCAGGGTATTCACCTGTGTTCAATCAGTTTTTTTTTACACAAAATGTGACGTTTCTGCTTTTGCAGATATATCGATCCAAATGACCCCACAAGGGTGTACCTGCAGCAACCATTTGATACTCAACCGAGTCTTAGAAGGCGTACATACAAAGCTTATGCTCCCGAAGAAGGCCAACTGTAGATTTAGTGTATCGATAAAATGTTTTAGGAACTTACTTTCTTGTTATGCATATATGTAACAACGACTCTTTAGTCATATCAAGGCTAGGATCTAATATAACACCCCTGTTGATTAAGGATAAGAATTTATCAGAGAGGGTAGCTGTGTATTTTCTTTATGTATTCATAAGTTGAGACAGTCAGTGTTCTGATCGATTTATAAATTGTAGTGTTAAACTTGACGAAGTCCGGCTTTCTCATGCGTTTTGTACAATCAACCAACACAAGATGATTGATTATGGCTGTCGAGTCATTGTGTCTCTTAGCCTGGAGTAACTCATCATTGTTCCGTCTGTCTCCCAGTTCTGCACTTCCAATCCCAGGAGGCCTTTTGATATCTGCAAGGTAACGCAGAAGAGAGCCAATGGTGTTTTGACTAGTTTTGAGAAAATCCCCCGAGCTGCATGCATGCATGACAGGTGCTTTACTGACCTTACAACTTGATACATTCTTCATCTCATCGGATATTACGGATGCTTTTACTTGCTACGGGGAGGGATCGAAAATTATCAACCTTGAATTGATCCAAAAAACTAAACTGAGAAACATGTTCAGTACTTTACTGAACAGTGACCATTTGAACTCTTATCGACGAACAGTGTGGACTGCGATACATATCAAGTCAGTAAAAGCATAAGTGCGTTTCCAGTACTGACCTGTGACCATGTAGGCGCTTACCGTTAAGTGAATTATATTTCTTCATCTGCCATTCAGCCCGTTGTTTAAAACGTTGACCTAGCAACTTACGAAGAGATTGTGGCTGAGCACAGTAGTTTAAGGTTGCTGATGTTTCGAGAAATTGATGAATCCGAAGGGGGAGCATTGGTGTGAACGTCGGGGTACTGACAATTGCATCGCTTCTGTGTTGACTTAGTCAATGTAGTACAGGACTTCTGAAGGCCGAAGTCTTGACAGCATTATGGAGTTGCAGCTGCACCAGAAGCCCGTTGTTTCTAGCTCATACCTGGAACAGGATTCCTGGATTTTCTGCAGCTGCAGTTGTTGCTTTCTCACCAGACAACATATACTTCACCAACATACAATTAAGAGCGATGTCTCCCTTGTCTCATTCAAAAGTCGCGTGCTCCTACCCCCACAGCGATGATTTACATAAACATGAATTTTGACTGACCATGTCCGATACCGAAAACGTGAACTTGCAATATATCTGCAAGCAAACTAAGAATGAAAATTTGCACTGTCCCTGTGCGTGACCCTCACCCTTGCAGTAGAGCAAGTCAGGTAGTAAAACATACGTCTGTACGCAAATTCCTGTATGTAAACCCTGGGGAGTTGGTAGGTGGATATCACTGTAGCCACACGTACTGACCTTACGAAACCTGAAACTCTCTCTTTGCATGCCTGACTTCTTAAGTCGTATCTGGACACGACAGAGGTCCAAGAAGGAAGGACATTGCATCTCGCGCAAGTCCCAGGTATTTGATTTGTAGGTGTGAAATGGGTCACTGACAAGTTCTAATTCCACCCAGTGAAGATGATACCAAGACTTCCTAAGGTCCGTATATTGCGGGCCTTGGTGCTATGCTAGTGAATGCTATCGAACCCACGGGATTCCGAATCGACAACAGCTTCGATAGAACGAAATGCGTAGCAATGACAAGTAGAAGGAGGAGAAAATGATGACATAATGAAGGTCTGGCTCGAACGAATATTTGACATGAATGAACAGCTGCCATGTAGGCAGGCACCGGGAGCATCCACGTCGGACAACATTATAGTGTCACGCAGTCTATTACAGTACAGGTCACCGGTACACATAGAAAACTGTGATGGTTGCCACGTCGGCTCAGAAAGGAAGCCACGTGGGAATATGGAAGAAATGATACCCGGACTCGGACTCGAACGAATATTTGACATGAATGAACAGTTGCCATGTAGGCAGGCTCGGGGAGCATCCACGTCGGACAACATTATAGTGTCACCCAGTCTAGTACAGTACAGGTCACCGATACACATAGAATACAGTAAGCGTTGCCACGTCGGATTAGAAAGGAAGCCACGTGGGAATATGGAAGGAATAATACGGACTCGGATCGGCGGTAGCCATCTACGGTGCAGTCATCATTGCCATGGCAGACCGGACGATCCGGGTGTCAGATGTCGAATCAGCCCTTCTGAGTTCCCGAAGAACTTTTGCTCCTCCGGTCGTGCACACAAGTCAAACTCGCTCCAATCATTGCTTTTCGATGGGAACCAGTTGTCCGGGATCCACATTCAACCTCGAACGCCATTCGTCGTCCCACTTCGGTTCGCCATGTACACCATTACTGTACGCGGACGAGGAATTTCGCTCAAGTGAAGGAGGAGGGACGGACGAACGTTGGATTAGAATAAGTGGAAGAAGAAGACAATAAGAAGAAGAAGAAGGAACGGAAGAACGCGGCCTCCTCCGGCCGTTCCTAAGTCCCCCTCCTGCCCCGAGGAAAAGCCCAAACGGCGAATTAGTGACGTTTTTGTCGCTCTCTCTCGACGCAATCAGTACAGACGCTCCCGACGCTCCCGACGCTCGAAGTTTGAAGTTCGAACTGACCCCACGCGCCGTGGAGGCGCCCGCAGCGGCCACGTGTCGAGCCCAGGGCGCTCTTGTCACCGGACATGGGGGCAGCCGAAGCAGCAGCTCTTTAAAAGTTGCTCAACAGCTGCTAAACCCCCCTCCTTCCCCCGGGGCCCTCATTCGATCGCTTCCTCGAGAGGTCGAGCGCCTCCTGCAACCGCAGTTTTATGGCGCTTGGAGTGGCAGCAGCAGCAGGAGGAGGAGGGCCAGATCTCTGCGCATGATCGGTTGCGTGGTGTGCGGAATCTGTCGAGGGAATTCTTGCAGACAGAATCGCTTCGATCCAATAATCGGCCGCGCGTGACTTCAGCTCGACGAAAGGTAAGAGGAGAGAGATCGAGATCGACCGGTTTTGGAACCACCTCCTCCCTCCTCTTCGATTTACGAGTATTTTAATAATCTCGAAGGCTCGAGTTCGTGAAGTTACAGAATTCTCGTGCTGTGACCGGCTCACCGACAATTGTCTCGGTCGCTCAGAGAGGGGCGGAGGTCCCTTGAGCGCATGGACGCTGGAAGGGGCTTCGTCTGCTGGAGCCCGGAGGAGTTTCGGAGTCCGAGACTGCGCACGTCGCTCGGCTGATTCGCCGATCGACCGGTTAGCTGGAGCCATCGCGGAAATTCTGGGTGTTAGTGACAGTGATCATCCTGCGGTCACGTGAGATTCGTGAGGCGATTGGTGCTCAGCAGAGTGATATATGTGCCCAGTACTCGGAGGACTTGTCACAGATGAGTAAGTTCTTCCATTCACTAGGTCGCAAAGGAAAGGATTTGGTAAAGAAGAAATTGGGTTCCAACGAGAATCGAGACTCTGCTGCTGCTGCTGCTGCTCCGTCCAGCGCAACGAGGATGGGGGACAGTGGTGCAGCAATGTACAATATAATGATGAACCCGACTTTCGATCAGGGCACGCAATGGTGGTTCGGAATGGGCTGCTCTTTGTCTGTGAATCACGAGAATGGATCCAGCTACGGCGTTGGCCACGGCCGAACAGAGACGTGGCAGGGGATCGCCCAGGAAATTGGCGAGAGGCTGGTGCTGGATGAGGAGTACCGCTTTGAAGCTTGGGTCGGCATCGGTGCTTACGGTCCTGAAGAACAGGCACCTGTGACGGCCACCGTCAAAGTGGAGACCGAGTCTGATGGCACCAAGTACAACTGGATTGGAAGGTGATGGCCTGAATTCCCGGTCACGATTCTCGTGCTTGCTTTCTCACGCTTCTGTTATTCTTCTTAAGACAGGCATTTTTCTTTTCTATGTGAATCTCGGTCTGGCTGTTGGGCACGGGTGTGCATTCATGATTTGGTAGATGGCTTGAAAATGCTGTGGGTTTGAAGACTTGGGGTGCTTCGGGAAGGTAATGAATGCCTTCTCTAGAGACCTTGGCTTGAATGTTTGGGGTTGTGCCAGATCATCTTGTCTGAACTTGTGTCAGGCCCCGCAGGTGAAGCATCTGAGATCCATGAGTTGTCCATTTTGGTGGGCGAGTGAGCAATAGTAGTAGCCAGGCTGGATGTTTTGTCATATATTTTCAGCGCAGGGAGGTCACAAAAGTTGAAATTGGATTGGTTCCTTGCATGGTTCTCTTGTAGTGAAGTGATGGGGAGTGGCGTTAGTGTGTGCTGTGCTCACAGTGGATTTCTGCCCGTGGTGCAGTGTGACAGCTACGAAAGGACAGTGGGTTCTCCTTTCAGGAAAATTCAAAATTGACAACCTGGGGAAAAGCTCAGTGCTGTACATTGAAGGTCCCCCGAGTGGAGTCGACGTTCTTGTCAGTAGTGTTGCTGTCATACCGACGACTCCTGGAGCTTCCGAACTAGCCAGTCAAATGGGAAATCTCATGGGCCATCCGGTAAGGACCAAAAATCAGATGTTTGTCATCTTATTTATCTCAAACATCAAACGGGGAAGTTGGAAATGCAGCCATTCGTCCATGAGGAGGAGCAGATCACAGCAATCTTTCAAACCACTCTGAGTTCATGTTGTAAACTCGCCTTCTGATCCAGCAACCGGATATGCTCTTAAACTAAAGTCGGAGAACGAGGCTATCCTGTATTGACAGTTTTCAGCTTCACAAACGTCATGCGTGTTTAAGCTTCGTGCGGAATGTAGATATGGTTCCTTGTTTATAGCAGTCCTGACTTTTGAAGATCAGAGATCCCAACTTGTGTACTCGCTGTCAAACCTAAGCCTTTTTCACGTTACCTTTTCACATGTGGACACGAGATGATGCAGCTCACTCACCTTTGGACGGAGATTATGCCATTTCAAGTAACCTTTGTGGATAAGTTTGAAGTTGTACCCTGTCGAATAAACGGTCTGCTCTTGTTCTGGACAGGCGGGCACACCAGCAAGCAGTATGCAGCCAGCTGCCATCCAGCCGTCAATCGGTCTGCTGCACAACCCAACATTCGATGATGGCTTGAAAAGTTGGACACAGAAGGGTTGTAAAGCATATGTCACCGAAAGTTTGGGTGCCATTGGTCCCGAAACTGGCAAGTACTTTGCAGTCGCTTCACAGCGAACGGAAACATGGCAGGGAATTGAGCAAGATATAACGGGACGCATAGAAGAAAGTACCCTTTACCATGTCTCTGCCAAGGTTCGAGTGAACGGTGGTGGTGTAAAGGAAGCAATGGTGATGGCAACGCTCTACATGAAAGGATACGATGGGAAGGAGCAGTACATGACCCTTGGAAGGTGAGTTCAGGGTTGGTGTCCTTGGTGTCCACTTTTGTTCGGTCTTGATTGATCATTTTTATGCATACAATTACTCCCCTCATCAGAAGATGGCCATTGTCTGGAAACAGAATTTCGATCGTCTTTCACCTTTAATTGCTTTCAGAAAACTTACTGCTTCGCAGATCGTGATTGTCGATCATAAGGATGTCAAGTCAACTGCCGTTGTGTACGACAATTTGGTCTTTCTGCTCCAACACTTGTTAAAGACTTCACTTTTTCAAGCCCTTGGCTAGTCGCTTACTCGTTGATATCGATCGTGGAACAGAGTCAATGCATCAAGTGCGCAGTGGTCGGAACTCAAAGGAGAGTTCCTTGTGAATAAGCTACCTGCGCGAGCTTCAATTTATATGGAAGGTCCTCCCGGAGGCGTTGACGTGCTTTACAACAGCATCTTCTGCTTCAAACCGGAGAGGCCGAAGGTCGAGGGGCCTATACTGTTCCAGGTTTGCACCAATGCAACCAACCCCTTCGTGTTCCTTGTAGACTTTGGCTGCTGGCCGCATACCAGCATCATTGTTGTAGTTTGATGCACCACTGGAATGATGAAAAAACTTTGGGATAGCCAAAGTTTTTTTCTTGGCTATCCCATCGAAGCAACGTTGGAAGGTTTCCAGCAATCTGTGTCACAGAGGATGCTTCAAGCAGGTATCTGAATCATTGCTATATGAAAGGGCCTGATGTTAAGATCATGTTTTAACCACTTCTGTCTGTGTCTTCAGAATCCAAGATTTGGCACGAACATCGTGCACAACACCAACTTTGACAGTGGACTGAAACACTGGTATCCTCAGGGTAATTGTCGATTGAGTATTGCCCATGGGTGCCCAACGCTGTTAGGCCCCGCTGCACAGAAGTCTTTCATGGACTCACCACCACCCGGACTCAGGGGATCTTATCTGCTGATCACGAATCGTTCATATGACTGGGAAGGTCCTGCACAGACGATAACTGAAAGACTTCAGACTAACATGTCGTACCAAGTCAGTGCATGGGTGGCTACTCGGAGTCCTGATCAGCCCGGAATGAAGCACAAAGTGGATGTGTGTCTGAGTGTGGATGGCAAGTGGGTTCAAGGTGGTGAAGTGCTCGCAGGTGACGTATGGGAGGAGGTAGTGGGATCTTTTCGGCTAGAGAAGCAGCCTGAAAATGTGCACGTCTATCTCCAGGGCCCTGGTGCTGGTGTGGACGTGATGCTGGCCGGACTGCACATATTTGCTGTCGATCGCTCTGCACGATTTCCAATGCTCCGGGAACGAACGGATCAGGTACCCCCAGCGTCTCACTCTGAACCCCACACTTTGTTCGAAAGCCCCAATTCTGTTCCGTTCCAGTCATGTCTCTGCTTCCATCATCATCATCATCATCATACTGAAATTGGATGCTTCTCTTCGTTTTTTAAACTTCTTTTCCGTAGTTCGGAAACACAGTGCACAGGATTACCTCATGACTGAACGTACGTTTATGCTCCTTATCATTTGCGCCCACCGTTTTGAAATTTGCCACTGATTATCATCTCACTCGATCTCGGTGTTCTTTGTCATTTGTAGATTCGCAAGCGGGATGTGGTTGTAAAGCTCCAAAGCTCAAACGGTGAACCTCTTGCTCCAGGCACAAGAGTAACTGTAAGACAAAATCGCTCTAGCTTTCCCCTCGGCTCAGCCATCAACCATTATAGCTTGGAGAACTCAGCATACACAAAGTTCTTTTTGGACACCTTCAACTGGGCCGTCTTCGAGAATGAGCTGAAATGGGGATGGATCGAAAAGCTTCAGGGGGAACTCCATTACGAAAACGCAGATGATCTGCTGCAGTTCTGTGAAAGAAACGGTATTCCTTGCAGAGGGCACTGCATCCTCTGGGAGACGGAGGATACCATCCAGGACTGGCTGAAACCCCTCGCGCCCCCAGAATTGGAAGAAGCAGTCCATTCCAGAATTGCTGGACTCCTGTCACGCTACAAGGGAAGATTCAGGCACTACGACGTAAACAACGAGATGCTTCACGGGTCTTACTACAAGGACAGACTGGGCCCCCAGTTCCTGCCCTACCTCTTCCAACTCGCCCATCAAGTTGACCCCGAGGCTGTCCTCTTTGTCAACGACTATCATATCGAGGATGGCTGTGACTGCAAGTCCTCACCCACAGCTTACGTCGAGCACATCGTGGATCTGATCCACAACGGCGCCCCAATCGGAGGCATAGGCTTGCAAGGTCACATAGATGTTCCGGTTGGACCTGTAATTCAGCATGCTCTCGACCATTTGGCCACTTTAGGACTTCCCATCTGGTTCACAGAGATTGACGTGGAGTCGGTGAATGAGTTCACGCGTGCAGACGACTTGGAAGTGCTTTTGAGAGAGGCTTTCGCTCACCCTGCTATAGAAGGACTCATGTTCTGGGGTTTCTGGGAAGGAACAATGTGCAGGAAGAACGCTCATCTCGTTGACTCTGATAAGAGAGTGAACGAAGCAGGCCTCCGACTCCTTGCCCTCAAGGAGGAGTGGCAAACCAGCTTCGAGAGTGTTGTGAATGAGCAAGGTGAGGTACCCTTCCGAGGCTTCCTTGGCGACTACACCATTTCGGTCGATGACTTTGGATTAACCCAGACTTTTGAGCTGGTGAAAGGTGACGAACCCGCCTACGTAGAATTGAGTTTCTGATCCTGGCCTTCAGCTCATCTTCTGACACGAGCAACTACCAACGCTGCAATTACACTAGAATCCGTTCTGATCTATAACCAGAGGGCATGTTCTGCGACCAGACATCGAAGAGAGCAGACCAAACGGGCCCCTCTGCAACCTGATGCTTGATCGATCCGAGCAGCAAATGCGCCAACAGAACTGTCACATTGAAAATTTTGACCTACCTCTCTGTGGAGGTGATTACTGAGCTTGCCTGTTGCGACCGATATCATACTGACTGCAAAGGCCTATACGCTCTGTTGGGTTGGAGGCTGTGCTGCCCGTTTGAATGCTGATCTGACACATCAAGCCATCAGGACTCGCTGATCTTAGAAAACATATTTCTGTTACTGGAGTGAATAGAGTTGTGCTAGTACAGTTGCAGAGGCTTTGAAGAGACGTGCGGTTAATGCCAACGAGGGAGTGAAGAAGTCTCTTGTATTCTTAGCTCGTTTGGTGCAAGAAACAGTATCTGGTCGAGGAGCATTATTTTGGTTACTGAGTAGCTACTGCTGCTGCTGCTGCTGGCTAGTTGGCAGGGAGATACGTCTGCAGGAGGTCCTCTGCTCCGCTCTTGTATTGTCTGTCCATACTGTGTAAGATATGTATACACTCAATTTTCGAATATTCGTATCATAGTAGCTGATGGATGATCTGGAACTGCAAGGTTCGAGTGTTCGTGCATTGAATCGCACCTGTGGATGATGGTTTCAGTTTCAACCGTATCGTACCTTATAATACCCATGACAGGAATGTGTTTCTGGCTCTGAGTTCTTCCCAGTATGCTTGATTGTGTCAGTCAGCTTTCGCCAAGCTCCGAGCGCTTCGTACTTTTTGAGAAGTACCATCTGTCCCTGCAGGCTTCGACCCCTGTATCAGGAAGATATCACCGAGCTCTGAGCGCTCGTGATGTACCTTCAAGGGTTTGTGAAGAAGGGCTGGAACTGCTCGTTGGACTGCAGTATTGGTGACATGAAATTCTCTGAACTAGCTTTACCGTTATTCCTCGAGAGTTTCCATGTGCGACAGCAGTACACGTCTGGGGATCACATTCTGGAGCTCGTACAAATCACCGGATCTAAAGATGGCGGCTGTGTTGCTCAGGTCGGTCCGGTGAATGATGGCTGGATCATGAGAGACTCTTCAGAGGACAAACCGTAACAGCCTGCAATCATGATGCTGATCTCGGCGATCTCCGATCATGATAAGCTTCAAACTCACTCATTGACTTGATCTGAGCAGCCACCCAACTCATCGGAGGACGACTTATGAACTTCTCAAAATAGTGAACTTGGACGGTCTCAGACGTTAATGAATACAGTTGCTACCAATGTGAGGCTTACTGTAAACAGACCTGGTCTTTAGTGCGATTACGCTTTCCAATCTCTCCTTACCTTCATGTACTGGACTCTGCGGCCAAATCGTGCATGAGCTCGAGAAGTTCAGTCACCATGAACCGAGTCTCGAATTTACCTCGAGAAAGTATGTACTGCAGAAATACGGGTGCGCGATAAAATCAGCAATCTTGCTGTTTTCCGACGTTTGGAATCTCGGAACTCCGAAGTCAAATAACGAAAAGCGAATTTTGGAAGAATGAAATTGCGGACAGCCTAAAGCGCCAATGATGAAAAACAAAAACGGACAAAGTGCGAAAGCTGAAGAATCGAAGTATCAGAGCCTAAGCTTAAAAAATAGTGAAGAAAAAGCATTCTTTCTAATGCTGTTTAGTTGCCTAGAGCATCAAAGCCGAGATGTTATGTCGTATTTGAAGAGACAAATTCGAAGGGTCTAATGCGAAAGAACAGAAGTCAAAGTCAAAGTGGGAAAAAAGTCGGAGTTGAGAAGACGAAGTGCCAAAAAAATTTGCCAAAGAATAAAGGTTGTAAAAAAAGTGCTGAAATAGTCCTCGTATCGAAGTCCAAATGCCGAAGCATAAAATCGAACTGCTAAAGAGCCAAAACATTCAGACTATGGAAAGAAATGCAGAAGCAAAAGTGTTAAAGCTGAAATCTTAGATAAAGTTATGTAACTTCATTCACAAAAGAACTGATATTTCTCTTTCCATTCTTTTGTATTTTTATACCTTCTTAATTTTAGAATTTTCAGACAATATTTTTAGAACGTGTTTCAAAATCTAAATTTTCAATAATCTATCAATCCACATACTTTTTATAAACCTAAGAGACCTCAACAAGATCTTTATCACAGGCGGTGATGAGTGATGATGGTATGAAAAAGATCGTGATGAGAAGACGGATGTCATCTGGGTCCCTTTGAAAATTGTTTTTCATACAAATTCTCAAAGTTTTTCTCGCTTCAAAAGCCCAAAGGATTGGAGTTATTAAAGGTGGAAGATATAATAGCAGTGAGGGGACGAGAAAATACATCCAGATGGAAAAAAATCAAGTTTCGGAGATGGAGAAGGATTAAAGTGATTCTTTGGAAGGAAAAGAAGTTCATAGACAAAGTGAAAATAGAAAGTACAATTTGCCCACAAGAGTGTAACCAGGGTTTGAATGCAAAGACAAGTCATTTGAACATGAGTAGCATAAGTTGGAAGCATATTCGAGAAGATGTGCAAAGGGAAGAGCTATGCATGTCTCAAAATTTGACTGATCTCATTACTCACTTATGATCAATTAAGGTTGAGAAGTGAAACTAGTACCTTGGTCTATGTTTTGTGTGATTCCAAAAACATTATGAGGCTTCTGAAAGATCTAATTTGATCATCAAAAATTTTGCAATTCAAGTTGGTAATAAAGACTAAAATTTTGTCTCATTTGAACTAGATGTGAGTGCAAGATGCTAGTGAAATAATGATTTTTGAATAAAAAAATTGTAAGATTGCTCTCAATTTGAAGAATTTATTATATTATTATGTCGAATTTACAACTGTGGTTCTAACGGAAATTCTCTATAAAAGTTTTTTGGAGATAATTTTGATGTTTAACACATACTTTTGGGAGGTTTGAGATTGATTGAAGTGAGAATTTGAAAATTGTGATAGGTTTTTTACTTGGGAACTTGGAATTTTTTTTTTGGATGATAAACCAAATGATTCAAGCAAAGATCGGGAATAATATATTTATCTAACAATATATTGTACCCAATATATTTTATTGGTCGCGTTTCCAATAGCAATATATTATATTGTTGCTCCTTAAAATGACAATTCAATATCAATACTATTTTCTTCATTCAAAGAAGAGACTTGCTTGATGGTACTTCAATGGAAACTAAATTGCTTGATGGGACCCGCTATGTTCCATTTTACGCGATGGGAACCCAACGACTGTGTGCCGTCGGCCATGTTCTAGACATAGTTCTTGTAAATATGACCGTAGTTATAGTGCGGGGATTGTGCTGTGAGTTTTCTGATTAGGGTTAGGGTATAATCGGCAACTTCTTCAGCCAACTGCTTAAAGAATCATAAGCTCTCGCTTCTCTGGAGAGCAATCTAGATCTTCATGCAATCCAACGTGAGAAGAATTCTTAGGACTGAGAATGAGACGAGTCCCAATGACAATTGAATGGACAAATCTTGTAAATACCTCCTCCTGGACCACACTGATCACCGAATCTGCCGCCTTTCTCTGCAGTACAATGTTCCATAGAACTCCTAGCCATCAAAACTTTTGCTCAACATGATGGTCACCGACTCTGCCGTCCTCCTTTGCAGTACAATGTTCCACAGAACTCCTAGACATCAAAACTTTTGCTCAACATGATGGTCGCTATGGCCCGACGTGTATGACTCAATTAGGGTATTGCAACTCAATTGGTTAGTTTTTTTGATTAAGGAATTATGCTTTGATTACAAGGGGCCCTCTTATTTTTTCTTATTCTTGCGCACTCCGCAAAATGATTCGCATCATCAATCATGAGCAGCAAGACCAACAGTTCCCCGTCATCCAAGGCAATATGTCGCCTCTTCTACGGCAAGATTCCTTCTTCTAAGAACATCTGGAAGTGTGGATGTGGAGTAGAACGGTAATGTGATGTCATTAAAAATGGGTACAATAATCTTATGACCCACATAAAGAGCAAGCATCCCGATTATCTCGAGATCTACGCGGCGTTTGCTCTGGAATCATACTCAAGCAGATCACATTCTTCCAATAATGGAGCTGAGCAAACCACGCTCGAATGTATGATTGATTCAAAGTCGCGCGGTATATACAAATGGCTGGATAGTCATGAGCGAGCACGAGCTAAGTTTTTGCAAAAAAAATCGTACCACAGAGAACACGAACCTGCCGAAGATCTGCTCCAAAACTCTGAAGAAGTATATGTTCCTGCGGATGGATGATGTTGAATAAAAGATCACAACATTGGCTTCAGCTGCGTCATGCTATGCCTTTATCTTTGATGGCTGGACGGAAGACTCCACTCATTTTATTGGTTTATTCATCACTCGTCCCGCCAAAGATGCGACAACGTCCTCTTTTGACATCCATCTGTTGGCATTTGGGCCATTGATGGACAAAACTACATTCACAACAGTCAACCATCGGGATTTTATTCTGGCAACACTGGATTGGTATCATCTGCCTATCAGCAATTTCATTTGTTTGATTGGTGACAACTGCAGCACGAACTGTTCAACAGCAGACCTACACGGATTGCCATTGCTAAGCTGTCGCAACCATTGTTTTAACTTGGCAGTCGAAGCCTACATTGATCGATATCTAGAAACCGAAGTTGATTTGGTGAGCAATTCGATGTCAAAGCTGTCAACGTTGAAAGAGGCGGATTGATTGCGCATGACCATCTCATTGCGTCTTGTTAAACACAATAAGACTCGTTGGCTCGGAGTGATCAAAATGCTTGATCGCTATGAAAGATTGCGACGTCACATTGACGACACCAATTTTGATGTAGCGGAACTCCTTCCAATTGCTCACCAACGAAATGTCATTCGCCACCATATTGGCGCATTATCTGATTTCAAATTAGTGACCGAATTGTTGCAAAGAGAGAATGTCTTTATTGGAAATCTCAAACTTTATTCCAATCTTTCATTAACAGTGTTCCAAATTTCCATTTCGATTCATATCTTTCAACTGATGCGCCCATCGTTCACAATCCCACATTTGAAGATGTCATCATAAAGATTCAATCGGGAAGGGAGTGCAAAATGCTAGATAATGAAAAGGATGATGTTCTATGCCTGAAGATGTCAAATACCGATGTGCGGGAAGAATGATACTAGCCTTTCTTTTGCAGAACGCACGCTGAAGCGACAGTGAATGCAGCAATCCAACCGATCCGACTACATTGATACCAGATTTCTCCTGCCTACATCAAATCATGTCGAGTGGCTATTCTTTATGAGCAAGCGAATCTTTTTGGACAAACTCAGACTTCTGTTGTCTCATACTCTAAATGCGTTATTGTTTCTCAAATAGAATCGCACCCTTTAAAACATGGCCTTGGTCTCAATTGTGATTAATATCGATTGTGACTAAGATACCCGAGCCAATTAGAAAGTGAAGTGGAGTAGATGGTCTCAATATGTCTAATTTTCTATATTAGATATTGCAATATATTGTATTGTTTGATTGACAATACCAATATATTGTATTGTCTTGAAATGCAATATAAATATATTTTATTGTATTTTCAGAAAAAGCAATATAATATCAAATAATATTATTCCGAACTCTAGATTCAAGAAGCTTGGGAAAATATTTCGCGAAAGAAACTATGAAGAGTTTATTGAATAGTTAAATGGAGATAAACCACAATTATTCATTTATGTTATGAAGAGTTTATTGAATAGTTAAATGGAGATAAACCACAATTATTCATTTATGTTAAGAGTGTACGGTATAGTTATTGCTATCACAAATTGGAGTTGGAGCAACCTCAAACAACTGGAAAATTTACGAAACGCACAATTTTTGACGTAAATAACTCATACAAGGAATAGAAGAGACTAATTTGTAGCTAAAAAATAAATGGTTCTCAAAGCAAAATAATGTCCATACGAAAACTAGATTTCAGTCAAAATAATAGAAAGAGAAGAACGGCGAATGGCTGCATCTAAATAGTCGAGAGATGAAGATAACGAACGACTCGATCACTAAAGGCATGTTCTGAATTCAGAAGTGGGTGACAACTTACCATTTGGAAGTCGTACCTTTTGAGAATCACGAACAGATAAACAACCTTTGAAGATTGAATGAAAGTGAGGGATGAGCCCGTGAGGTCTTGACCAACAGAAATTTGATCTGGAGGTAAGGATCGATCAATGTTGCATGTGGTTTGCAAACTGGAAACTGGAGAAACCGAGTGGACTATGTTACAAGGAAAATAAAGTGAGAAAAATCGTTTTTAGTGGTTAGCATGGAATTATTGACGAGGCGAAGAATTTGGTGCGAATCACCACGTGCTCGGGCCAGAGACCAACAAATGGAGTATGGACTCTCGGATCGCTTGGTTTACCATATTGAATTGTATGTGCACCACTTCTGATATCCGAGAAATCCTGGCAGCCTCTTTTGATCGAGGAAGAATCAGTGAGTTTAAAAAGCTCGGGGACGAGGGGAAGACCAGGGACACGACTATCATCTCTAGCTTAAAATAATAAAAGAACGTGAGCTCACAGCCGTCAAGCAGGATAAGGATTCGAGCCTTGAATGAGTGAATGACGGAGGCGCGTTCGAAGTGAACCGATTTCGAAACCAGTAGCTCTAAAGGAAAGCAATCTGCAATTTTCCCTCATGCCACAACAATGCTCAAGAACTTCTAAACAATCCCTCGACCTAAATCAAGAATCCTTCATAGGTCCACCTATTCCTACGTCCCCAAGTTCAATTCCCTACAACACAATCTACATACATAACAAATTCAAGGAGTCTTGATCACTTTCGGTCATTGCGGCTTCTGTCTTCTGGAGGTTTTGCTCCCGATTTCTTTCTCGTAGACTAGCCAGTAACTTGGTTCAGTGAGTTATGCTCCGTAGATGGGCCACAATCTACAGCCTTCCAAAAGGTGAAGCGAGGATTGCGTGCAATGCAGCACACGAACAAGACTGCACCTCAACCATGCTCAGAGTGAGTGCATGTGCAATTGGACCACACATACAAACTTTCTCTTCTGCGTGCAAAAGAAGAACGTGTGAAAGTCTTCGTCGGTGGGGGCAAGCGAACGAATCAATGCCTGAATGACGGATCCAGTTGGTGAGAAGCTCAAGTAGCCCTCACCAGGACGTAGCACGAGGAGATGGAGATGGAGCAGTTGGTGCACCCTCTTCCTTGAGCATCGAACTATCTCCGAGGTTCACGCCCAAAGTCCTGAGCTCCTCCAAAGCCATCCTTGATTCAGGACATTCATGACCTAAGTGAACGCCAAGAGCTCCAACAAGAAATTGCACTTGCCATCTCCACACGAGCAAAGCCTGACCCTGACCCTGCTGCTGGGGTTAGTTAGTGGTTAGTTAGGGCTTATTCCCTGGTTTGCTGTTTCGTTTCTTCCTTGATGGAGTGTTCCCATTCTCTTTCCGAGGTTTATCATTAATGTGAAAAATCTCCTTTATTCCAATGATCAACGGACAACTTTCACATTCTTTAGAGTTTATAATATTAAAAGGAATTAAAATCAAAAGAAATAAATACAGCAGATTAATTTGCCTTCTAAATTGATATCTAGCTGTAAGTTTTGAAATAAAAACTCATATTTTCAATAATTGGTTCAAATTCGACTTCTATAGATTAAAAAATCGTCATGTTTACTATGAAAGTGCTAACATTTTTCACATTCTTCAAAGTTAGAGTTGGTTGATTTTATAATAAGCTCAAATTTAAAAGGGAAGAAGTATGAAATTTTATAATGACTTGTAAATTGATATCCAGCGGTAAAATTTTGAAATTTTTTTTTCATATTTTCAATACTTTGTTGAAATTCGACTTATATAGATTAAAAATTACTAAGTAGATACTAAGTATTTTATAGAAGAAGAAATTTATGATTTTGAAATGTATTACCTTAAGAAGATGCCTTAACAGCTTAACTACTTGCTCTATCACAATTGCACCACTGAAGTGCCTTCCATTCGCTGAGGGAATCCACTACATCCCGCTGAGTTTTCCACAACCGAGACTTCATAGTTGTTCCGTGGTTTTGTTTGAATTCATTTTTACAGAGTTTAGTAGAATACAATATCTAGTTAGTCTTTTTTTTTGTGTGGTGATGATGGAGAAGAGTGTGGCCCATATCTGAAAAGATAATCATCTCGAGAGACATGTTGGTTCCTGTTCAGTGTACACCGTGCAGTGGGATTGACCCCCTCATATACAAAGGAAAATATATGTCCTGCATTAATAAAATAATTTGCACCGAACGGTAAAAAATTTGTCTATATATTTATCGGGAAAAGAAACTGTGAATTTTTGATATCTTAGACATCGTATCATATAGAGTCAATAAAATTTTATTTTGAAAGATTCCAATACCCTTAAATGTGGTAATAAACATTCATTAATGGGAAAAAAAGTTGGATAAGCAGATCAAAGATGGTTTCCGATAGTTTGATTAAAGCTATCTGTTTTGACAAATATATTTAATTATTCAATATAAAACTGTTATTGTCAGCTTGAACTTATTATAGGTAGTCACGTATTGCGAAAGAGATTGCAACGAACCTTGAAACAATGTCGCACACAAACAACTCCATAGGAAGGCAGATATGCCTTGATTGAGTAATTTGAAGATCTAATTGAACTTCTCTCTATTTTATATATCAAAATCGGATTTTTCTGGTAAGAAACGGGGAAATAGAAAATATTTCTTACTGCTTAACAAAGCTTTGGAATATTCTCAATTTTTGGTGAAGTACTAGCATTTACATGAAACTATTACTGATTTTATTCATTAGAAGCGAATCTTGAGAAACACATATTATATTGCATGAAATAATTTGGGCTTAACACGTGGACAGAATCTCGATTACGGTCACTTCACATTTGAATCCGAATTGAACCATTTCGAAAAATCGAGAACCAATTGAATGGAATTGAACCAACCTTCTTACACGTCTGAATGCAGAATTGAACCAATTTCAATAAAGAGAATAAAGACCTCTTATGGATATCACTGAAACATGGATCTTTAGAACTCAATTTACATGTACGACTGAGAAAGAATATATTCCTCCTCCGTTTTTCTTGCAATCTTTTTCTAAATCCTCTTAGAGGAGCTCGGTTCTCGAGTCTTGTTATCAATTAACATGCACGCAAATCCGGATCGTACCGCTCAACTCGTACATGCAATTACGTAGGAGATCCAAATCACGTCACATGCACGAGGTTCACTCGATTGCGTTATCGAGTCCTCCACGGAAACGGGGGAGATCCTAATTCTGTGCACGGGCTCACGGAACTAGACGGAGAATAAGTCGAAGTCCTTCCTCGGTCAGAAGTAAACCTGACAGCTGTAAGTAACGGTATGGCCTGGACCCTTAACGACCTTCACCCGACCTTCAATCTTCTGCCCCGAGCCGCCGAGAGTACGCGCTGAAGACGGTAACTTCCGGTTTCTGCTCGTACGTAACGGTTTGCCGACGAATCCAAGTCCAAACCCGCGCGATCTAACACCCTTCCAACCTCACCTTTACCGCAAGACCGCATGCATTCACCCGTTCCTCCTCACCGGGAAACCTGCCGTAAACCGAAGCAGGTTGTTCCATCGGGGTGTCTGGTAACGTGTAATCCGTTTCCGGGCGGGTTTCCTCCATTCGGCCCTGGACACGTGTCCCGCACGCAACAGCCACGTTCACTGAACTGGAATATGCGGTCGCGGTTGGACTGGACGCCGAACGTACGGCCGCCTTGAAGCCGGGAGGGAGGGTTGCGTTTTCACCGCAGGGCGGTCGGAGAAGTCTGGCTCGGTCGGACCGGGAAGAGATGTCAGGGACCGGACTCTGGCGCTCACGCTCGGCCCTCTGACAGAGCAGCGAGCGCGCACGAGCAGCGGAAGAGAAGCGAAGAGCGCGAGAGGGACAGGGAGAGGGACAGGCCCGCAGAGCAAGCCCTTCGATCCCTCTCTCTGGCCTCCCAATCATTGGAACTCGGCCGCCGTCCCATCATCCGCAGTCCCGTCCCGAGCCCCGTGTCCCTGTCCCTGACCCTGTCCGTGTGCGTGTCCCATCTCTTCTCCCGCTCGCCTTCTCTCCTCCGCCTCTTCTTTGTCGTCTTCTGGCCATCCGCCGGTCTGACTTTCTCTCGGTCTTTCTTCGACGACCGTGGGCGCGTGGCGCGGGAGACGAACGTTTAGGCGCTGCCGAATTTCGAGCGCTCGAGCGATGGAACGCCCGGCGGGACGCGAGGCGGAGGGAGCGAATTAGTGGCCGGCGAGGCCGGAAGCCGAGATCTGGCTAGAGCGGAACGTTGTCGAGGGTGAGCCCTTCTTCTTCTTCGTCGTCGTCGTTGTTGTCTTCCGGCGTTTCGGGGTTTTAACGGGTCCGCGATCTTCTTCGTCTTCGTCTTCTTGGCATCTCTCCGGGCGACAGAGAGCTTCGCGGGCCGCAGTCGTCGGGAGATTGCAGCGGCCGTTCTCGGGCCCCGGCCGCCGTCGGGAGATCCGGAATTCGGAGCGCGTAATGCTCGACCTTCGCTCGAGGTCGCCGTCGAGCGCATGCGCGGGCGGGCGGGGGTTAGACGTTGGAGGAGCGTAGGCAAGGTTATCCAGATTGAGCATCCGTTGGATCCAAGTCGAAGTCGAACTGGCACAGCAACGTCGTCCTCATGGACATCGACTCACTCGTACGTTGAATACACAACGTCTCTGGCGCTGAAACCATCGAGCCTATCGCCATCTCCTCTCTCCCTCGCGATATATTGAAGAGAATGCAAGCAGGTCGGGCATTGGGTGTCTGTCAGTCAGAGTGGATAGCATTATTGAGTCGGGGGTGTGATATTTGCGTGTTGATTTGTTCTTCATGGTGTCGGAACATGCATGGAGTTGGTCGAAGTGCAAGTGAGTGGTAACAGCAACAGCAGTCTGCACGCCATGCTCCTCTCCTGTCTCCGAGATATGATTCTGTTATATTCTGGTCGCACTTTTCATCATTTCTGTCCATCGGGCAGACTCGACGGAATTGCGCAATCGGTCTGAGCCTACAATTGGTTCTTGCCAAGGCGATGAGCACCGATTAACATTCTCGCCTTAATAACGCTGGTTTCTCGTGCTTCTGTTGTCGGGCCTGTACGTGGCAATTGCTGCGGGTCTGACGCGGTCGCTGTCTAATTTGGCCCCACAGTGATTGGTTGAGTTAATTTAGTGATTGTGGTATTAAATGAGAGTGGGAGAGTGAGAAAGGGGATGGGCTATTTATTTGTTCAGCCCAACTGTGCACTAGAAGCGAAACTGCCTGCCACTCACAGAATGTAATCGTGTGCAGAAGTGCTGAGCTGATCGAGGAATTTACACAGCGATGGAGATTGCGAGTATACCAGTGGGAAGGGTTGCGAGGGGTGGTTCGCAAAGTGGTGCATCCTGCAAAGCGAACGGTGAATGCTGTCGTGGAATGATGAGATTTCGGAGACTCTTCTTCTTTGTCTCATGCTCCCTGCTGTTGACGGTTGTCTTCATGGCTGTCGACCAATTCTCTCATCTACCGAGGTTTTCTAGCAGCGACGGAGCGGCCTACAAGCAGAGCTATAAACAAAGTTACAATCACGGAGCCAACCGAGGCCCACATCTGGGTCAGAAGCCACGCTCCATGTATGGAGACAGTCAGTCGAGATCGAGAAAGCTTCTGGTAAGGTTCCGTCCAAAAGCTTCTAAGGTTTAAATTATGTCAAGTTACGGTGATTTCGGACTGGAATCCGAGCCCTTTCCCACCACGTGAGCCATTCGCACATATTCCTAAACTATCTGATGTAGTTGTACCTACTGACTCGCAAGGGATCTAAGTGTTATTCTTAAGACTTTATCAAAGATTACATAGTTACATAATTGCCACATTTGTCACTTTCTGCTGTCCGAATTGTACTCGACGAAAGATGTCAAACTTTACTACCAACAGCTTTTTCATGCTTCATCTTGTTCGACAGTGTTACGAAGACCAGTCTCAGACCGATTGCTCCGGTATTGCCAGGACTTCATCACCTTATTGTGTTTGCCTCGCAGGGGCAAGTTCCAGCAAGTTTCTCACGCGACTTCAGTGTTCCAGTGCTACCTGCGATCGAGCAAGAGGCTGTACAGGCGGTCCCTCTCACTTGACTGCAGAGGAGCTTGGCTCGTACAGAAATTAGTATCATGAGGTACCCGCAAACCTTAGTGTATAGAAGTCAATACAGCATAAACAATTCGCCGATGCGAAAGCGAGGGCGTGTATCTTTAGAAGTCGAATGAGATCGAAGCTATGCTTCTTCGACAGGAGAGGCAGCGACTGTGGAAAGAGATGAGCTCAATTGCAGCTGCTAGGGAGCGCCATTGCAAAGGCTGGCCCATTGTAGCTCCAACATGGACTCTCTCCGGTGTTATCAGGGGAAACAGGGCTTGACGTCTCAGGATTAGCTATGGAGGTTCGCCGGAAGGCTCTTCAGGCGTTGCTCGAGAAAAATCCCAGGGTCGTTCACCCAATTCCCGATGATTCCACTTCGCGGATGTTAGTTAGTTGCACTTTTAGGTAGAAAAGATTTCTCGTCGGCCATTCGTGCCGCCGATACAATCATCGCCTGTCTGTATTACACCGTCTGGGGTAACGAAATCAGTATAATATGACTTGAGTTCATTACTACGAGTATTATATTCATGTTGTGCCTTCTTCCTCAAACTGCCAACCAATCGAAGGCTCTCAAGGCTGAAGGAAGAAATCTGATCACCGTGATGCGGAGGAGGATGCCATCCCCTCTCTTATATTGGCTATCAGTTGATGACTTGTCCAGAAGTAACTCGACTCTGGGGCTGACTGAAACCAAGGATCGCCAATTGCAATTGCCATGTGCTTTACACAGGCGAGCAGACAATGACCTGCATGGACTGCTTCCAGCCGATGATCGTCCTCCAAATGTGCCAAACTCCATCGATCGATCGTTTTGCGAGACTTGCGTGACAGACCACCAAAGGGAAGTACAGTATCGACCAAAGCTCACAACATCGTCACGGCGCCGATGTGGACCTCAAGTTGTAATGTCATGGGAGTGCAACGGAAGGTCCAGATTGACATTGACGTCGTAAGGGTTCGTTGTGATGTTCGTTCCAGATTAACAAACCAATCACAGGGCGAAGAGGCCATACATGCAGTTGAGCGACTACAGTCCATTAAATCTATTCTTCGTATTGTAATTAAGGTTTGCGGCTTCAACACTGAGCACTTGCAAGTCAGAAATACCACAATCCTATTCCACATTTCTTGAAATGTAAACTCATGTAATCCTTGAAATTTCGAGCATGTAGCCTAATTGTTTCCTTTGAATCTCAAATCAACGCCTCGTACAATTGCATTTTCCATTCCTTGGTTCCCTAAGATTTCCCGTTGTGTAACCCCTTTGGAAACTAGTCACATCTTTTTGTGGCCAAAGTTTACATCCTCGCTGGCACCTCCACATCCATATCAAACTGAGCTTCAGATCTACCAATGTAATCGGATATTGCTTCTCTTGTAATGATTGGGAGCGATACGATTATTTGTATACCCTCTGTATATCGAACTCTCTTTACTTCCTCATCCGTCTATTTGTTAGGAAGCTTGTTACATCCATGGATTGGATAGTTAAATGCTAACCGATCTTTGAGTATAATTTCTGTCTTATCGTAATGTGTTTTCAAAGAACAAAAACATTTCACATGCTTCAAACACATCTTTGAAATCCTTTGAATTCCATGACTTTTTCAACTACACATTATATTTCAATCAACTTGTAAGTCCAACACTATTAAAATCATCACAGCTCTTATTGATATTTTAAGATATTTTTGAAAGAGTATATTAGAAATGCACTTCGGTAAGAAAATAAATAACCGCTGTATCAATTTCGTGTTAGCTAATGTAATTCCATAAATTTGATTACGTACACACACTTTGATTCTTCACTCCGCAATCAAAATTCGTTTAATTGAACCGAACTCCAAGGCAGGACATCTTTTTTTAATCAAATTAGAAAGATGTATCCTGTCTGTTCGCATTCACACGACGACGAGTGAAGAGCTTGTTTGTTTGTCTTGGCCTGACTTCCATTAGAGGCTTGAAAAGGCTAAAGAATTGGCCCTTCGTTTACGGAGGGTACCTTGTTCTTCGTGTCCGTGTCCAGAAGACACTTCGATCCTTTCTTCGTAAAGCCCAGAAAGATCTTAACTTAGATCTTGAAGGGTTAGGCCCTTGAGGAAATTAGCTGATTCATTACAACACTCTAAACATGCACGAGATCTACATTTCACCTTAAAAAACGCGCTAAGGTAATCACTTGGTCTAATTTTTTAACGATGTAATCATATCTTTCTTACCTTGTCATTTAAATTTCTGCTTTTCCTCTTATCAGATTTCGATATCTCTCCTAAATATTAAAAAAGTTGAAATAGTGATCATTGGTACAAAGTTCAAAACCAATGTATGTAAACAGTGAAAATTTACACTGTTTTGAAATCAATTTACCTCTAACTCAATTTCAAGAATAAAACTAAATTCAAACATACAACTTATATATAGGAGAAAACATTAGCAAGTTTCAAAAATAAAAAATAAGAAGTATAGCCCAAAATCAATAATTAGACTAACACTAGAATTATAAATTGGTAGAATTATTCATTCCTCAAATTACAAACATTCAATTCAATTCTTTTTCTGATCTGAATCAGCTATCAAGAATCGTCAAGATGTAGAAGAAAATTGATTGTCTAAATTATTGCTTATTCTTAAACCTAAAGACTTGGGTCACCTTAGCCCCAACCAAAGCCTCCCTCCCCAACATGAACGCACTTACAGATATCATACTTGTGAAGGATGGTTTCAGTTGGTTTAAGTGCAATGCGTTATTTCGCCAAAAATAAAATCCCGTTGATTCACCTTTCAGCTTTATGCAGAATTCAACCGAAAATACTAATCCTACGAGTCCTTTGAGTTCTGATGCGCCTACAGAAATCAAGCAAAACAGTCCACATTGCATTTGCGCTGAAGCTCGACAGGTCCCATTACAAAATGGAAAGTTGGACAGGGATGGAAAACCCGAAGAGCAGACGTGGGACCAAAGTAATAAGGGCGAACAATGGCGTGGGTGAATGACGATGAGATTGGGAAGGGACTTGGCGACGCTGGAGAAGAGGGGAAGGGAATGCGAAAAAAATTTGGACCATTTCTCGATTCGTGCGTGTCATCCTTGCGCAGGGGCCATGCTAATCTTCTCTGTATCGTTCCAATTTTATCGGATGTCCCCGAAGGGACGAGAGGGGAGGTGCACCTGGGGTATATATACGCGTAAAGCTGGAGATTACAATACTTATGCCATTAATGCGCGGATGCAACACACGTGGCGCTCTCGGGGATCGCCTCATGAGGCCTCTGGCTACTTGGTCTCTTCCTTTTCCCCGGGCGTCTCTCAATCTCCTGTACAGGTCTGAACACGAAGCTCGAGGTCGATAAAAGCATGCGACTTCGTTTGAAGTCGCATGCTTTTAAACACGTATGCAAATTCTTTCAAGAAAATCGAGGATGAAGCGTATTTTTCGTAGATGCAAGGCCTCATGGATTAATTCTTGAGGCATTGCGTTTTGCTCGAGATCACGCATGCCTTGATATAAAATGTATAAGTATAAATTTATTCCTTGTTATTTATTGCGTATTTTACATGCGTTTTGCTCGAGATCCGCATGCGTGATCTCGAGCATGGCGGATGCGGCCTTCGTACAGTGTCAACCGTGTAAAGGCTTGAGGCACGAGAGCACGACCGGTTTGGTCGGTTTCTCAAGGTCCCACGTTACGGGATGAGGAAGCAGATTAAGGGTTTGGAGTGTGAGCAAGAAGAGTACCGGCATCCTGGCTTTCCTTTTCTAAACTGACGCGGGCTGAGACCAGACCTCACTTCCAGTACCACTGGAGGCGGTCCTCGAGCGCGCCACGTGTGTTGCATCCGCGCATTAATGGCATAAGTATTGTAATCTCCAGCTTTACGCGTATATATACCGCAGCTGCACCTCCCCTCTCGTCCCTTCGGGGACATCCGATAAAATTGGAACGATACAGAGAAGATTAGCATGGCCCCTGCGCAAGGATGACACGCACAAATCGAGAAATGGTCCAAATTTTTTTCGCATTCCCTTCCCCTCTTCTCCAGCGTCGCCAAGTCCCTTCCCAATCTCATCGTCATTCACCCACGCCATTGTTCGCCCTTATTACTTTGGACCCACGTCTGCTCTTCGGGTTTTCCATTCCTGTCCAAATTTTCATTTTGTAATGGGACCTGTCGAGCTTCAGCGCAAATGCAATGTGGACTGTTTTGCTTGATTTCTGTTGGCGCATCAGAACTCAAAGGACTCGTAGGATTGGTATTTTCGGTTGAATTCTGCATGAAGCTGAAAGGTGAATCAACGGGATTTTATTTTTGGCGAAATAACGCATTGCACTTAAACCAACTGAAACCATCCTTCACAAGTATGATATCTGTAAGTGCGTTCATGTGGGGGAGGGAGGCTTTGGTTGGGGCTAAGGTGACCCAAGTCTTTAGGTTTAAGAATAAGCAATATTTTAGACAATCAATTTTCTTCTACATCTTGACGATTCTTGATAGCTGATTCAGATCAGAAAAAGAATTGAATTGAATGTTTGTAATTTGAGGAATGAATAATTCTACCAATTTATAATTTTAGTGTTAGTCTAATTATTGATTTTGGGCTATACTTCTTATTTTTGTTTTTGAAACTTGCTAATGCTTTCTCCTATATATAAGTTGTATGTTTGAATTTAGTTTTATTCTTGAAATTGAGTTAGAGGTAAATTGATTTCAAAAGAGTGTAAATTTTCACTGTTTACATACATTGGTTGTGAACTTTGTACCAATGATCACTATTTCAACTTTTTTAATATTTAGCAGAGATATTCAAAAATCATTTCATTTTGTAATATGACCTGTCGAGCTTGAGCGCAAATGCAACGTGGACTGTTTTGCTTGATTTCTGTAGCCGCATCAGAACTCAAAGGACTCGTAGCTTTATTTTATTTGCTGAATAAAGATGATTAAGTTTAACGCTGTAAATTATTGTACTCAAACATATAGTTTGAAGTGGGGAAATTGCGGACTTTATGGTATATAATGCGCACTGATTTCTAGGTGATGGATATTTAAGCTTGATGGGAATACCCATTCTTTTTGCTTGTAATTTGGATATTTCAATATTGATAATGAATAAGATTTTTAAGTTCTGAGTTATGAAATGTTCTATTTAGTTATTAGGATGATATAGTACAATAATAAATATGTACAACTATGAATATAATATCCATAAAGAATATTGATAGTTGTACAGGTTATGGGAGGAGCCATCCTTTTTTATATCAATCTCGGCCGTGACGTTCTCAAAAGAAGACTCACAGTCGATGGGGGTCGGAAGAGTTTAGAGGTTGGCTTGCTGAACAGTCAGTTCTGATGTAAATCGTGCTTGTCAAGGGTATCCAGGGATCTGTGTGCAGGATTTCGGCCACAATCTGCGGCGGTCCCTTCTTCCGTCTTTCAAATTGTCCAGAGCAGTACTTTCATCCAGGTGCTCACGGGCTAATTTTCCAGTAACTACATTACAGGTTGTCATTTGAAGTAGTCAGAGGTACTTTTTCTAAAAGTCTCATGCAGAGCTACGATTGTAACCGTACAAATCTTTACATTAGTCAAAACCTCGTAGCCAAAAGGGCATATCATTTCGTCGTGTCGGTTTACGTGACCTCGTGCGAAGTTGCTCTCGATATGCCTTTCTGTAAATGGCGAAATTGTCAAACCAGCCGTTTTTGTGACCAAAGGATCACAAGAACGATGTGCTATGGGAGATTGGCACACATTTAGAAAGCGCCAGTGGTAAGGGAAGAAGAGATAAATTGCACAACGAAACGATTGAAGCATTCAGATACACAGTCGACTGCATTACACTCCATACGCATCTCATACACTGGATTCTGGCAGAGAATACAATGCGGCTGACACAACTCCGTGATGCTTAAATATGATCGGATTTTTTCTGTCCAGTCCAGTTCCCAAAATGAACAGGACGGCTTTTGTGAGAGCCAAACGTGTAGACCAGACTACTTCTGGATACCAAATTTGGCGAGTGAAAAAGGACGAGCTGAACTATTCAGAACAGCGTGCATGAAAAGCACTGCAACGCCGTGGACTTCAAACTAAGGTGACCGAGGAGCTGCTCCAGCTCAAGCTAGCTTGAGAAACTGATTGCCTGGCAATCCTTCAACATGAAGCTTCTTGAAGAAAAATCTAGCTTCCACTTCTAAATAAACTACTGTATGAGAGAAGGTTCACCGTGCAAATAACGGTGCCCTGTATTAGACCTCACTTATACATCGCAATTCAAGTATTTCGTCCTTATAAGACAATTAACATATCTTGAATGGTTTTCTGTAAGCTCTTGCAGGGAGCTTTTAACCACTGATGACCGTCTATCACAATGAGTGATTTTCTACAACAGCACTGCAGCAGAACTGTTGCCCAATGATACTTTGCTCCAGATCAGAGTTGCTAAGATCCAAATTGAAAGACGACGAAGATGGCCGATCATCCACGCACTGAGTTAAACCTGTCGCAAGTTGGGGCTCACGAGCTTTCTTAAGCGACTGCATGATTGACTCCGAGCAGATCTTATGGACATCGGACCACTTGGATTTCCATAACATGACAAGGGTGCTTACGTTGCATGCTCAGGGCTCACTCAGCGCGAGTTTACAGCTGCCTTGAAGGAATGCTGGGTGGAATTTTGGGAATGGGAAATCATGTCTTCAAGTTCATCGCAGACGGCGTCATAGCAGAAGCGAAATTGATCCTAAAAGAGTACCACCAACATGGGATGTCAGTTTTCCAGATGTGGCGTATCGATCCAATACATAAGAAGAGCAGAGAAAAGGTAAGAATCTCCAAACGATCTGACTCACACGTTCGAACGTAAGATATCGATTTCAAACTTACCCTAGTTTGCACCATGCCGTATCGTTGTTTCCTAAAGGTTCTAAGAGTTTGGCATACGTCAACTGCTGTTAGATCACCGTTGAGAATTCGCCGTAATGTGTGATCTATTACGCAGTACGTGCCGGTTCTACCTATACCTGCACTGAAAGATATCAAGACCACCAATCAGCCAGTAGTAGTAACTCGATAGACTGGAAAAGATCCACAAAATCCGGCACACCGAATTGCAACTTCGCTTAATCCTCGACAACAAAACATGAAACACACACAAGAAGACATGCCCGTTGAAGCACGATGACGGTTTCATCCTCCTGGAAAGTAAGGACAAACCTGCAATGGACGACAAATGGACCGGCATCCACTGGTATGAACTGCAAACTTCTCATCATCTCTCGGAGTGATACAGTTGTGCTCGGTACACGAAAGTCAGGCCACTCGAAATATTCTAGGTGCAGGACGTAGTGTGGTGGAGCCTCGGGCTGCAAAAGACACATGTCATCAGCCTGATGAGCAACATTCACTCGAACGACTTCTGCTGCATATCAATTTTTGAAAACCATCTCCCCGGCAGGTGATAACCGACAAGTAAGAAAACATGGACTACAGAAAGCAGAAAACAGGTCCAGTAAGAAAAGTTCTACTAAGGACAGGAACTTTAATGAACGTACATCAGTCATCATTCGGACTTCGAACACCCTTTTGACGATAGAATGATTCGCCATGCTCCCAACGAACTTGTTGGTGACAATGAGTCGTCCGTACCGTACTGGCATATCCAATTCAGACGGGAAATATTCGTAACATTTGTCCTGCAAAATAGCATAACCTAGCATGTCAAGACGAGTCAACAGCATCTGTTTGCTTCAAAGAACATTGTGACTCCGCTAAAAATCTCGATTCTGACAATTCCAAAGACAAAGCTGAGTGTGAGAAAACAGGCGACAATCACAGTTCACAGTTATCACAGTTCACAGTTCACAGTTCTTATTGATTTTTTAAGATATGATATTTTAAGATACTTCGGTAAGAAAAGAAATAACCTCTGTATCAATTTCGTGTTAGCTAATGTAATTCCATAATTTGATTACGTACACACAATTTGACTCTTCACTCCGCAATCATAAGTCGTTCAATTGAACCGAACTCCAACGCTGGACATCTTTTTTTAATCAAATTAGAGAGATGTATCCTGTCTGTTCGCATTCACACGACGAGTGAAGAATTTGTTTGTCTTGGCCTGACTTCCATAATAGGCTTGAAAAGGCTAAAGAAGTGGTAGAGTCTCAACGCCCTTCGTTTACGGAGAGTTCCTTGTTCTTCGTGTCCGGAAGACACTTCGATCCTTTCTTCGTAAAGCTCAGAAAGATCTGAACTTAGATCTTGAAGGGTTAGGCCCTTGAGCAATTAGCTGATTTTTTACAATACTCTAAACATACAATCTACATTTCACCTTAAAAAACGCGCTAATTTAATCATTTGGTCTAATTTTCTAACGATGTAATCATATCTTTCTTACCTTGTCATTTAAATTTCTGCTTTTCCTCTTATCAGATTTCGATATCTCTCCTAAATATTAAAAAAGTTGAAATAGTGATGATTGGTACAAAATTCAAAACCACTGTAAGTAAACAGTGAAATTTTACACTCTTTTGAAATCAATTTATCTCTAACTCAATTTCAAGAATAAAACTAAATTTAAACATACAACTTATATATAGGAGAAAACATTAGCAAGTTTTTAAAATAAAATAAAATAAGAAGTATAGCCCAAAATCAATAATCAGACTAACTCTATAATTATAACTTGGTAGAATTATTCATTCCTCAGATTACAAACATTGAATTCAATTCGATATCTGATCTGAATCAGCTTTCAAGAACTGTCAAGATGTAGAAGAAAATTGATTGACTATTTTGCTTATTCTTAGACTTAAAAACTTCGGTCACCTTCGCCCCAACCAAAGCCTCTCTCCCCCACATGAACGCACTTACAGATTCTCTTATCCCATACTGATATCATATTTGTGAAAGACGATTTTAGTTCGTTTAAGTGCAATGCGTTATTTCGCCAAAAATAAGTCCCATCGATTCACCTTACAGCTTTATGCAGAATTTAACCTAAAATACTAATCCGACGAGTCCTTCCAGTTCTGATGCGACTACAGAAATCAAGCAAAACAGTCCACATTGTAATTGCGCTCAAGCTCCACAGGTCCCATTGCAAAATGGAAAGTTGGACAGGAAAGGAACACCCGAAGAGCAGACGTGGATCCAACGTACTAAGAATTTGGGAGAGTGGGTCAAGTAGGATGAGACTTTGAGGAATGTAGAAAGGCATGCGTGCGCAGACTTGGCGACGCTGGGGTGGAGACATGAGGAAGGGAAAATGGTACAGGAAACTCTCCACATTCTGCATTTTATGCTCAAGCTCGACACGTCCCATAACAAAACAGAAAGGAAGGCCCGAAGAGCAGACGTGAATCCAACGTAATGAGAAGTTGGGAGAGTTGGTAGGCTCAGACCCGAAGAGCAGACGTGGATCCAACGAAATGAGAATTTGAGAGAGAGGGTCAAGTAGGCGGGAGACTTTCAGGAATGTAGACTGGGGTGGACTGGAAAGGAAGACCCGAAGAGCAGTCGTGGATCCAACGAAATGAGAAGTTGGGAGAGTTGGTAGGCTCAGACTTCGAGGAATGTAGAAAGGCATGCGTGCGTGGATTCAACGTCCACGCATCGTTCACTGTCCATAAAGGAGAGGCACTCCATCTATAAGGAGGCAAATCTCGTCATTTTAAAAGACAGGTCATGACACACCCGAAGGAAAAATGCATTCCGCGGAGGTGCATCTCACCTCCGCGGAGGGCGGAGGTGCAGATTCAGTATAAATATGTAAAGGCTGAGACCCTAATACTTCGGGATTTTGCTCAGTTTGGGAAGGGAAGTGGAGGAGATTGGGAAGGGAAGACAGAACTGGATCAGCATCACACACACTGCAAGCTCGTACTCTTGTTCACTCAGCTTCCAGTTTTGATTCAGTTCAGATTTATCAGTATCCAGTACTCGCAGTTTCAGCCCTCGACGACCGTACTAAGAATTCCCGTGCTAGTATTGGATCAGCATAACACACTACTCGCAGTTTCCTTTCACTCGTATTATTTGATCAGATGGGGAGCGCCAAGGACTTCGCTGCTCACACCACGGAGCAGACCAAGAATTTTGTAGCCGAGAAGACTGGGCAGGCCGAAGCACTCGCTGAGGGATTGGGCCAGGCTGCTAAGCCCAAGCACAAGACATCGCGTTTCGTGCGAAAGGTATTTTTTCTCTAAATCGCGTTCTTCTTTCAGCATGTGAATCGCAGTTGTGTTGTCACGCAGGTTTTACGTCCGTGGACTGATAAGCACCGTTTGGCTGATTGCAGGCTGGTGACAAGGTGATGGAGACTTTTACCATAATTTCAGTTTGTAAAGGTTACTGCGCTTGGTGCAATGACGGGTGAAAGAAGAGAACCAAAGCTTGTCCTGATTGCGCCCATCCTTCATATGGTTCTTGACTGTACAAACATTAACGCTACGATATGCATGCATGATCTCAGTGTAGCACTCCTCTGTTGGCCGAGGACTCCGCTGCTCACACCACGGAGCAGACCAAGAATTCTGAAGCCGAGAATTTTGGGCAGGCCCAAGCACACGCTGAGGAAATGGGCCAGGCTGCTAAGCCCAAGCACAAGACATCGCGTTTCGTGCGAAAGGTATTTTTTCTCTAAATCGCGTTCTTCTTTCAGCATGTGAATCGCAGTTGTGTTGTCACGCAGGTTTTACGTCCGTGGACTGATAAGCACCGTTTGGCTGATTGCAGGCTGGTGACAAGGTGATGGAGACTTTTACCATAATTTCAGTTTGTAAAGGTTACTGCGCTTGGTGCAATGACGGGTGAAAGAAGAGAACCAAAGCTTGTCCTGATTGCGCCCATCCTTCATATGGTTCTTGACTGTACAAACATTAACGCTACGATATGCATGCATGATCTCAGTGTAGCACTCGTCTGTTGGCCGAGGACTCCGCTGCTCACACCACGGAGCAGACCAAGAATTCTGAAGCCGAGAATTTTGGGCAGGCCCAAGCACACGCTGAGGAAATGGGCCAGGCTGCTAAGCCCAAGCACAAGACATCGCGTTTCGTGCGAAAGGTATTTTTTCTCTGAATCGCGTTCTTCTTTCAGCATGTGAATCGCAGTTGTGTTGTCACGCAGGTTTTACGTCCGTGGACTGATAAGCACCGTTTGGCTGATTGCAGGCTGGTGACAAGGTGATGGAGACTTTTACCATAATTTCAGTTTGTAAAGGTTACTGCGCTTGGTGCAATGACGGGTGAAAGAAGAGAACCAAAGCTTGTCCTGATTGCGCCCATCCTTCATATGGTTCTTGACTGTACAAACATTAACGCTACGATATGCATGCATGATCTCAGTGTAGCACTCCTCTGTTGGCCGAGGACTCCGCTGCTCACACCACGGAGCAGACCAAGAATTTTGTAGCCGAGAAGACTGGGCAGGCCGAAGCACTCGCTGAGGGATTGGGCCAGGCTGCTAAGCCCAAGCACAAGACATCGCGTTTCGTGCGAAAGGTATTTTTTCTCTGAATCGCGTTCTTCTTTCAGCATGTGAATCGCAGTTGTGTTGTCACGCAGGTTTTACGTCCGTGGACTGATAAGCACCGTTTGGCTGATTGCAGGCTGGTGACAAGGTGATGGAGACTTTTACCATAATTTCAGTTTGTAAAGGTTACTGCGCTTGGTGCAATGACGGGTGAAAGAAGAGAACCAAAGCTTGTCCTGATTGCGCCCATCCTTCATATGGTTCTTGACTGTACAAACATTAACGCTACGATATGCATGCATGATCTCAGTGTAGCACTCCTCTGTTGGCCGAGGACTCCGCTGCTCACACCACGGAGCAGACCAAGAATTTTGTAGCCGAGAAGACTGGGCAGGCCGAAGCACTCGCTGAGGGATTGGGCCAGGCTGCTAAGCCCAAGCACAAGACATCGCGTTTCGTGCGAAAGGTATTTTTTCTCTGAATCGCGTTCTTCTTTCAGCATGTGAATCGCAGTTGTGTTGTCACGCAGGTTTTACGTCCGTGGACTGATAAGCACCGTTTGGCTGATTGCAGGCTGGTGACAAGGTGATGGAGACTTTTACCATAATTTCAGTTTGTAAAGGTTACTGCGCTTGGTGCAATGACGGGTGAAAGAAGAGAACCAAAGCTTGTCCTGATTGCGCCCATCCTTCATATGGTTCTTGACTGTACAAACATTAACGCTACGATATGCATGCATGATCTCAGTGTAGCACTCCTCTGTTGGCCGAGGACTCCGCTGCTCACACCACGGAGCAGACCAAGAATTTTGTAGCCGAGAAGACTGGGCAGGCCGAAGCACTCGCTGAGGGATTGGGCCAGGCTGCTAAGCCCAAGCACAAGACATCGCGTTTCGTGCGAAAGGTATTTTTTCTCTGAATCGCGTTCTTCTTTCAGCATGTGAATCGCAGTTGTGTTGTCACGCAGGTTTTACGTCCGTGGACTGATAAGCACCGTTTGGCTGATTGCAGGCTGGTGACAAGGTGATGGAGACTTTTACCATAATTTCAGTTTGTAAAGGTTACTGCGCTTGGTGCAATGACGGGTGAAAGAAGAGAACCAAAGCTTGTCCTGATTGCGCCCATCCTTCATATGGTTCTTGACTGTACAAACATTAACGCTACGATATGCATGCATGATCTCAGTGTAGCACTCCTCTGTTGGCCGAGGACTCCGCTGCTCACACCACGGAGCAGACCAAGAATTTTGTAGCCGAGAAGACTGGGCAGGCCGAAGCACTCGCTGAGGGATTGGGCCAGGCTGCTAAGCCCAAGCACAAGACATCGCGTTTCGTGCGAAAGGTATTTTTTCTCTGAATCGCGTTCTTCTTTCAGCATGTGAATCGCAGTTGTGTTGTCACGCAGGTTTTACGTCCGTGGACTGATAAGCACCGTTTGGCTGATTGCAGGCTGGTGACAAGGTGATGGAGACTTTTACCATAATTTCAGTTTGTAAAGGTTACTGCGCTTGGTGCAATGACGGGTGAAAGAAGAGAACCAAAGCTTGTCCTGATTGCGCCCATCCTTCATATGGTTCTTGACTGTACAAACATTAACGCTACGATATGCATGCATGATCTCAGTGTAGCACTCCTCTGTTGGCCGAGGACTCCGCTGCTCACACCACGGAGCAGACCAAGAATTTTGTAGCCGAGAAGACTGGGCAGGCCGAAGCACTCGCTGAGGGATTGGGCCAGGCTGCTAAGCCCAAGCACAAGACATCGCGTTTCGTGCGAAAGGTATTTTTTCTCTGAATCGCGTTCTTCTTTCAGCATGTGAATCGCAGTTGTGTTGTCACGCAGGTTTTACGTCCGTGGACTGATAAGCACCGTTTGGCTGATTGCAGGCTGGTGACAAGGTGATGGAGACTTTTACCATAATTTCAGTTTGTAAAGGTTACTGCGCTTGGTGCAATGACGGGTGAAAGAAGAGAACCAAAGCTTGTCCTGATTGCGCCCATCCTTCATATGGTTCTTGACTGTACAAACATTAACGCTACGATATGCATGCATGATCTCAGTGTAGCACTCCTCTGTTGGCCGAGGACTCCGCTGCTCACACCACGGAGCAGACCAAGAATTTTGTAGCCGAGAAGACTGGGCAGGCCGAAGCACTCGCTGAGGGATTGGGCCAGGCTGCTAAGCCCAAGCACAAGACATCGCGTTTCGTGCGAAAGGTATTTTTTCTCTGAATCGCGTTCTTCTTTCAGCATGTGAATCGCAGTTGTGTTGTCACGCAGGTTTTACGTCCGTGGACTGATAAGCACCGTTTGGCTGATTGCAGGCTGGTGACAAGGTGATGGAGACTCTAACCATAATTTCAGTTTGTAAAGGTTACTGCGCTTGGTGCAATGACGAGTGAAAGAAGAGAAATAAAACTTATCCTGATTGCGCCCATCCTTCATATGGTTCTTGACTGTACAAGCAATAATGCTCCGATATGCATGCATGATCTCAGTGTAACACTCCTTTGTTTGCCGAGGACTCCGCTGCTCACACCACGGAGCAGACCAAGAAGTCTGTAGTCGAGAAGATTGGGCAGGCCCAAGCACACGCTGAGGAAATGGGCCAGGCTGCTGAGGCCAAGGACAAGCCAGGGCGTTCCGTGCGACAGGTACCTTTCTTTACATCACTTTTTCTTTCAGCATGTGAATCGCAGTTGTGTTGTCACGCAGGTTTTACGTCCTTGGACTGATAAGCACCGTTTGGCTGATTGCAGGCTGGTGACAAGGTGATGGAAACTCTTAACATAATTTCAGTTTGTAAAGGTTACTGCGCTTGGTGCAATGACGGGTGAAAGAAGAGAACCAAAGCTTGTCCTGATTGCGCCCATCCTTCATATGGTTCTTGACTGTACAAGCAATAACGCTACGGTATGCATGCATGATCTCAGTGTAGCACTCCTCTGTTGGCCGAGGATTCCGCTGCTCACACCACGGAGCAGACCAAGAATTTTGTAGCCGAGAAGACTGGGCAGGCCGAAGCACACGCTGAGGGATTGGGGCAGGCTGCTAAGCCCAAGCACAAGACATGGCGTTTCGTGCGAAAGGTATTTTTTCTCTAAATCACGTTCTTCTTTCAGCATGTGAATCGCAGTTGTGTTGTCACGCAGGTTTTACGTCCGTGGACTGATAAGCACCGTTTGGCTGATTGCAGGCTGGTAAAAAGGTGAAGGAATTTCTTTTCTTAATTCCAGTTTTTATATATTCCTGCACTTTGTGCGATGTCGAAGAGAACCTTAGCTTGTTCTGATTGCGCGCATCCTTCATATGGTTCTTGAGTGGACAAGCAATAACGCTACGATATGCATGCTTGATGTCAGTATCTCACAGCTTAAAATCTGGCTCCAGAGTTAAATTGAAGATACTTTAGACTTATGAGAATTCATCCCTTAAAAGGGGAAGATTTTCTCTCTTTAATATCAGCCAGTTGCAAGTCAGTGTTTCCATAAATTCTGCCTATTTGGCGAAGTTTTTGTGTGAATTTTGTTTTAATTTTCATTCAAACTAAGTCGGGAAGTAAATAGCTTGTGTGTAGATTTAAATTTGGTATAAAGACTTGTTTTTAGTTGCGTAATCATTTTGTCTAAAAGTTTTGTAGCTTTGAAAATTTAAATTTTAAACCTAAAATCCTGAGAAAGTTTTTGAAATTTGCTGTGTAGACTTCTCTCCATTTGAATAAGCATTTTGTTTTCAATATGCAGCATTCAGTTTTTTTTCTTGTTTATGATAGTCCAGGTCCCTGTCAGACAAACAAAGTCCCCTCCCTCTAGTCTTCGTGCCCTTTGGGCCAGCAGGTTCGGGAGAGATTCAATTTCGAACAAGGGGTATTACGTAGAGTCTCTGGGGATCGTATAGAGCTCCTTCGGCCTTGACTTCGCGGAGTGGATATGACCCTAATAGATTATCTGCTGATTGGTCAAAATGAGATATTTTTTCGATAGGGACTCTCATTTCGTCGACGATTCAGTATACAGTGAGATTGTTGGAATGTATCTAATGGCACATGAGAGCCCTCAAATATTATAAAACCCTTCATTGCATCGGATAATGAAATATGCAATCCAATCTCTGCAGATTTTCCAACAGCGCCAATAAACCCTAA